TTTTATTGGCCTGGGTTTTCTAAAGATGTAAAAAATTATGTTCGATCTTGTGATACCTGTGCTAAAACCACAAAAAAAGGAGAGAACCCAAAGGCTCCAGTGCAAATAGGTCTGATAGCATCAAGACCATTTGAACAAGTTGCAATTGATATATTGTTGGCCCATTACCAGTGACGTCAGCAAAGGGAAACAGGTTTATTTTAACTTTTATTGATGTTGCCACAAAATGGCCTGAGTGTGTACCTCTGAAATTTATAACATCAAATGATATTCAGGAGGCATTGCTAACAATTTTTTCAAGGGTGGGTTTTCCAGAAGTGATTATTTCTGATAAAGGTACTCAGTTTACATCTTGGGCTACAAAAGCTTTTAATAACTGGTTAGGAATTAAACAAAATTTTACAACACCGTATCACGCACAAGCGAATGGCTTGGTTGAAAATCTAAATAAATCCATAAAAACAATGCTTGCCAGAATATCATTTGAACATCCGCAGTCTTGGGATACTTTATTACCTGCCATTATGTTTGCATATAGAGAAATTCCTCATAGCTCAACAGGTTTTTCGCCATTTGAACTTGTATATGGGGCAAATCCTAGAGGACCATTGCAGCTATATAATAAGCTTATCACAGGAAAAACAGAAACGGATACAGAAAAATCAGCTTATGAATCAGTAACAGATCTGAGAAATAAAATAATGATTGCTTGTCAACAAGCAAACGAAGCAATGAAAGAAGCCAGTCTAAAACAGCGACAATATGCGAATAGAATAGCAAGACTTGTGAAATATAACCCTGGTGATGAAGTGTTATTACTGTTACCAAAGAAGTCAGACAAGTTATCTATAGAATGGTCAGGTCCTTTTGTTGTTACAAGAAAGATTTCTGATGTTGATTATGAAATCAAAATTGATGAAAAGCTAAAAAATTTTTCATGTAAACATGCTTAAACCATATTTTAGAAGATCACTATTCATGTCAGATGATGATGTACTTGATGCAAATTTATGTAATGTAATTAATGAAGAGTTACCTGATGTTATAGAAGAAGATATTCCAACACCATCAACAAAAAATGAAGTCAACTGGAAATCGATAAAGTTAAATGAAGAACTATCAGAAAATGAAAAAGCAAAATTGTGGAGCATCATTTTTCATTACAAAGATATTTTCACGAATAAACCTGGGAAAACTAACATAATCAGTTACGATATCCAGTTGAATTCATCAGTGCCAGTGAAATCAAAACCATATGTAATACCTATCCATTATATCGATAAGGTTATATCAGAATTGCAACAACTACAACAAGAAGGAATCATTGAAGATTCCACATCAAACTACAGTTCGCCTTTAGTGGTAGTAAAGAAAAAGGATGGTTCACTACGTTTGTGTGTTGATTATAGGAAACTAAACCAAATTACCTATTTAGAAACTGAGCCCATCCCTTCGTCAGATGAAATCATACAAGAATTATATAACTCAAAATTTTTTACAAAAATTGACCTTTCAAAAGGCTACTGGCAAATACCACTAACACCAGAAGCTGTAAAATATACTAGCTTTCAAACTCCAATTGGACTCAAACAATGGTTGCGTTTACCATTTGGATTAATAAACGCTCCGAAAATTTTCACAAAAATGGTTAGGAAACTGTTATATGCAATTCCTCACGTCACAGCATATATGGATGACATCTGTATACACACCAAAACATTGCACGATCACTGCACTACCCTACAAAAAGTCCTATCAAGAATAAATGACGCGAAATTGACAGTAAATCCTTTAAAAACTGAAATTGCATACACCAAAATTGATTACTTAGGACATGTTATATGCGAAGGTTTAGTCCAAACAGATGAAAATATTGTTTCAAAAATTTTGAAGATCCAAAAACCTAAAACTAAAAAGCAGCTACAATCTCTACTAGGGTTAATAAACTATTATGGTAAATTCATCCCAAATTTAGCAGCACTAACATCACCACTATCAGAGTTATTAAAGAATCAACAATTGAAAAAATCAGATTGGAATGAGACACATGAGGAAATTCTAGTTAAAATAAAAAACTGTTTTTCAAAATATCCTATTTTGAGACAACCTGACCCTTCCAAAAGATTTTTTCTACAATCAGATGCCAGCGGTCACACAATAGCTAGCATGCTTGCGCAGAAACATTCACAAACATTACTCCCAGTAATGTATATGTCACAGAAACTTAACCAAACTCAACAAAAATACAATACATTTGAACGAGAAGCGTTGGCACTAGTTATTAGTCTAAAAAAGTTTCAGAAGTTTCTTTTGGGAAAAGAATTCACTATTTTAACAGATAACTTGGGGTTGACAAAATTATTAACAATTGATGCCAATAGCAATCCAAGGGTATATAGATGGGCATTGTTGATATCACAATTCAAATTTAACATTGAACACATCAAAGGAACAGACAATCATTTACCAGATATCATGTCACGTTTGTAGAACATGTTACAACTGCTATTACAACTTGTATTAACTGAAATCATTTTATGCAAGGGTATGCATTGTATTATTGTATGAATGTATTATATGAATTTACAACTTGAAAAATGTATATGTTTTGATTTGAACGGGTATAATATAGTAAACAATTAAAGGGAGACAACATTCAGGATTAAAATACACCTCACCAGAAAATGTTACATTTACTAGTATACTAAATTGAATTGGTGTAGCATTTAATTTGAATATGTGTGTTAATGAGACATGTTGTAGTTTCTGAAGACAAGGTAATTAACTACATCTTGTACCTTACATATTTGGGAACAAAACCATACATTGCTGATTTAGCCATTGTTGAGGGCTTTCATGAATGGGAATAGCGAGGGTGGGACTTCATGGGGTCACACTTCGGTTTTAGAGCCAAGATTTTGGACTTCCGCACCGATCGGGGGGTGCCAGGAGAGGGGTTCGGTTGTATACCGACTTTAGAACTGGGTGGGGATACCTATGGAGCCAGATTATTGGTCTTCCGCACTAAAAGGGGAGTGCCTGGGGTGAGGATCCCATTAAGGTATTCACAGTCGTGCAAAGACCCAACAGATGGCATTTTAGAGTGTTTGAATTGTTAACCTAATGAGGTAAAGGGAACTTGGTTGGAAATGAACTTGTCGAAAATGATTCACTACAAAGGTCTAGAATCACAATGTTCAGTGAAATGTTCACACCTGATTAATTGAAAATGTAAAACATTTTTTTGGGGTGGGGGAGAATGTAGTGAGTCATTTTCTCCTCATTAATTTATGCCCGATAGATGACGTCAGTAATAGATGTAAGACGAATGTTTTGACTGGCTGAGATAACACGAGATTTATGTCTTGAGTTTCATGAGAGACATCTGAAAGTCAGGTTTTATGTGAAACATGATTGTTCACAGGATTTGTGTGAAATGTGAATTATCACGGGCCAGACACGACTTTCAACAGTGGGAAATTCGTGAGAATGAATCCAGAATATTCTAGAACAGGATAGATCAGAGGGCTATATAATAGCGAAGAAAAGGTTTGTGGGCAGTCTCGTTTTGGACCCAGGAACAGTGTGCATGGACAGCGGTGGATGATGTGTAGATTCAGCAGATGTTTTTTGAGTGAATTTGTTCCAGTCCAACTTGGCGAAAAAAGCTGGCCAGTAACATGTCTGCCGGTCGTCTGAGTGTATCTGTCAGGACAGCTGTTGTGTTTCGTTTACGATGTTAGTGTAAATCGATTGGGATTTCTGCTTGAAGGTAATAATTGATTCTTGCATTATAATGTGTGCCTGGACAGTTGTCAAGTTCATGTGCCGGCTGTGTAAGCCGCGAGTGGAAGATTAAAGTACTGGAACAGTATCGTGTTGTTTTTCCCAGTCGTCCATTTTTTCTGCTCGTCGAGTGATGTCGGTTTTGTGAGTTGGCAGCGAGCGTGCGATGAGGCATGAATAAAAATGTTAGTAAGATCAACGAATTTCTCTTTGCAGATGACCAGGCCTTGATAGCAGATACAGCCATGAAATTACATCAACATCTAACATCCATGAATGAAGAATGTAAAACAAATAATATGAGAATCAACACTGAAAAGACAGAAGTAATGTCAATAGGAAAAAAGAAGACAGATCTAAACATAGCAATAGAGTGCAAAGGCATTAAACAGGCATCTGAGTTTAAATATCTGGGAACTACATTTACCGAAGATGGGAAATTGGATAAAGAAATTAACATTAGATGCAGTAAAGCAAACCAAGTATTGGGACAGCTAGCACCCCTCTTACAGCATAAGACAATCCCAATCAGCACACAGAGACATTCAAAGCATATTTATTCCAACTCTGTGTTACCAGTGCCAGACATGGTCACTCACAACAAACCATAAAAGAAAATTGGTAACCACGGAAATGAGATGTCTGAGAAGGGCTGTAGGAGTGACCATAAGAGATAAGATCAGGAATGAGATCATAAGAACAAGTCGGCACAAAACCAATTCTGGATTACATACGAAGACAGCAAGTGAAATGGTTTGCCCACTTAGAGAGAATGCCTTGTGACACCATACCATACAAAGCATACATGGAAAGAGAAGAAGGACATAGAGCACGAGGTAGACCAAGAACAAGATGGAAGGATAACATCAGAGAAACTCTACAACAGCACGATATGCCTATGGTCGAGGCGGCCAGAAGAGCTAGAAACAGAACCTTATATCTCCCTCGACACCCACAGCGGTAAAAGAGGAAGTGAAGAAGAAGAAGAAGAAGATAACATGTTCCAGTTTACCTCTTTTCATAACATGTTCCAGTTTACCTCTTTTCATAACATGTTCCAGTTTACCTCTTTTCATAACATGTTCCAGTTTACCTCTTTTCATAACATGGCCAAAAAATAAACTTAAGTATACTTAATATGACACCTCAATTTCTTACCTCAATAATAATTAACAGAACCTATCAAAAATAGATACATCAGATTAGTATCCTACCTTAGTGAAGCCTACAAGTCCATGTTTAACTGTTACATAGGCTGTCTTGTTAGGTGAGGCCACCAGGCCATGGGCAGAGGCAATGTTGATAATGCGCCCCCAACCTGTAGTTAAAGAAATCATCTGAGTTATGACTTGGATAGGAGCCGCCGCGATCAGTGGCTAGATGTTTGTTTGCTGATCCAAAGGTCATGATGAACCCGGACTTTTTTCAGAAATGACCTTTGGCCACTAGACCAACACAGCCTTAAATGGGTACCACGTAAAAGTTATGGGAAGTAAAAGTGGCTGGCATGATGACCACATGACCCGCCTCTTGGTCTGTAGAATACGGGTGTAGCCCTATAACCCAATACATGTGAGGGTGCGGAAAAGGTCCTTTACTTAATTTACTTTTCCTATGAGTTATCTTCCCGGCACTCCGGATACATCCATAGGTGTTCAGATTCCCCCTCCAGTGCCCCACAGTTAATAATGCCAGGCCTATGTTGGCTGGCAGGATGCATTTTATGAATTAGTTATTTAGAACATAAAACTAATAAATATGTCAGAGACAAAATATACAAATATGTAGGACATCAGGAGCCTCTTTGGCAGTGGTGAAATGTCGCAAGCTAGCTTGGTTCAGGTGCGTGGGGAGACATGATTTGACTGGAAATACTATGCTTCAGGGAACACTTGGGGGGGGGGGGGGGGGGGAGAGGGGGGGAAGGGAGGGAATGCCGGATTTTATGTACTAGTGCTTCCATCGATACACCTCCACAGCCCTAATGAGTTAAGGGTTATGTTTTGTTATGTAGTTGTATACAGACTGCTGTTCCCTTGCTCATCAAGTGTTATGTTATATGACAAGACCTCTTATGTACAGTATGCTTTTTATGGCTTGCTGTGCTGATCTTTTCTCCTAGATCTTATCAGTGATGTGGACACGCTCCCAAAACCCTCTGACTGTCCTATCTATTTAAGGGCATTAACAAAGGCTAGCCATCTGCCCTAAGGCAGCACCGGCCAATCTATCAGCTTTTTCACTGCCATCAACACCCGCATCCCGGGACAAAAACTGCAGATGACGGTAGCTCCACGCAGTGAAGTTTTACAATGACTCAATCCATTGTCTGTGTACAGAGCCTGCCTCAACGTTCCAGAACATGCTCACGGAATTGCTCAGTACACATCACATGGGAAAAGTCTTGTGATTCCAGCCACAGGAAAGAGTGTGTCATAGTCTATTTACCTGTGTAAACTCTGTGTTTGTAACATTAACAGTGGCACAAAGAACAGTAGTAGCTCCCACACAGTCATAACTACAATGAGCAAAGAGGTCTATATCTATATCCAGTACTTTTCTTTTAGTTCACCCCATCTCAGGGACTCCAAGATTTTGTGGGGAGTTCCTGGGGAAAGTCCAATATTATGCGCATGCGTGCCAGGAATGGGGATATTTAGTGTTAGTCAGTGTCTGTTTCACTCACCAACACCGCTATACTATTAGACTTTCCCGGAAACAAAATCTCGGATTCTCTGAGACTGGGTAAACTAAAAGAAAAGAACTTACATCCTATTCATGTCTCTGCTGGCACAAGGCATTCACTAGCGGTCGCCCTTACAGTCAGTCTGGTGCTTTTTTTTGTCCATGCTAGGCCATGTCAGCTTACACGCTTTCATTTCTGTTTTTATTATCTTTTTCTATGTTTCCATTGATCACGCTAGCCTCCTCTTTTTTTTTTTCCTCATTTGCTGTCAACTAGAGTGTCTAAAGTGTTATGAGGTATTCTGCAAACATGTCCAAGTCATCTCCTTCTTCTTTCATTGATAACATTTGCCAGGAGTTAGCACACACACACATACACACACCATCAAGGGAATACTGACCTTTGGCCTTCATGTTCCCAATACAAAGCTGAGCCAGCTGAAATGGAGCTGTCAACATCAGCCCCAACATTTTGTTCCATATATCCAAGGGAAATGACTCTAAAGGTGACACATGCTGAAAACCTAGAGAGAGAGAGAGTAACAGACCCTGGGTAACAAAACAAAAGTTTTACCGTTTTTAATGACATGCATCTTGGATAGTGGCCAACAGCCTTTATAACAACTTTGGTACTAGTTGCAACTGATTAGTGTGTAGATGATGCGTGTACAATCATAATAAAAAAAAAAAAAATTTAGGTATTATTTGTGGAAACAGTTTTTTTCATTGCGAGGTTAGAGAAAAAAAAAACATGATAAAATCACCATGCGGTCTGTGGCTGAATTAAAAAAAACCTTGTTTCTTCAGTCTAAGGGAAGGAAAGCAGTTATTTCTTTGCCCCGTCTGCATTTAATTAGTTTTTACTTGCACATAAAAAAACGAAGTTGGTGCAAAATGACTAATTGTGAAAAATTAAGCATCTAAGTGACTTTTTACATTGAGAAAAGGAGGGATGGCGCCTCAATGGCACCACAGCTAGCAGGTCTATCTGCTTCGTCACCCTAGGTTTCAACTCTGGATTTTTTAAAAACTGGCGAGAACTCCACATTTCTTTGGCTGCTTCTTGTCTTCCTCTAGAGTCTTATGGAAGTGTTTCAGAGAATTAAAATTTCTTTCAAAAGATTTTTTAAAGAAAGTTATATTTCAGGATTTTACTGGGTGAAAGTGTCAAACCTACTTTAGACCTAGTTAACTGATATGTAATCCTTATCATCATCAATCAGCAAGTCCTTTGCAGAATGTGGCTCTCTTCATGGCACACCTGAGAGTATCCCTTTCCCTAGCCAGCTCTCCAGCCCCATGTGCTTTCAATGACAATGCATATTCAATTTCCTGTATTAAATTTTATCGGAGGTCAACTTCTGCCTCGCTTTCCACAAACTCCACCTTCCAAGCCACTATGATGTTTGATGAGGTCAAAATATTTCAACTTTTAGGACCGGATGCTGATTATGAGCCAGTTTTCCTGGATGTGTAACGTGTAGATTGTCTATGTTTTTTCTCTTGTTAATCCACAGTATTCACATAATACTCACTGTGTATTAAAACAATTCATGGGGGAGAGGTTGCCAAAAATTAAAAGTTCTAAACTGCATTTGCTATGCGGCCTTAAATACTCCAATAAACAACATGTGGCCAAATCCAGTTGAACTAAATCTTGGGGAGATCTGAAAGACCCTAAAATCTTGGTCGCTAATAAATTAGGTGCACAACCAGAGATCACTGAAGAAGTAGTCTTTCACAGATGTAGAGCTGAGACATGGTGCTCTGTTACTGGGCTCACCCAACGAAACACCATATCCTGCTCATGATACTGAGTTCACGTCTGCATACTAAGCCTCTCATTCATCACAGACTGGGCTTTTTTAGAACCAGGAGGATGCAGTCTGCAAAGCTCAGATTTCAATTCATCATCATGTTTTGCTATGTTACAAGATCACCAGAATTAGAGATCAGTTCAATGTTCTTGTCTCACCCTATCAATTTGACTAGGCCATTGAGGTATTTATCTCTCTGTATTCCTCTTGCTCTCTTTCTATCAATCTTGCCAGCTGTTACTAAGCTCTCGAGTCCATCCCTTCTCATATGTCCAAAAACTATTGATTGTCTACGTCTAATTATTATAAGTTTATGACTATCAACTATTTCAGTCAGGACTGCTTCATTTGGTTTTCCTACCCTTCCATGAGTCTTTGTATTCTTTTCCAAATCACATCTCTGTCACAAGTAAATGTTTTTCAGCTTGTCTGCCTATTGTACATGATTCACATGCATATAACAACACAGGTTCAACATAACATTTTGATTTTGATTACCGACAGAAAATGAGTGTCTTGCTTTTTCAGCACGTCAGACTTTAACAAAACAGACAATGAGGGGAAACCTACCTGCATTGTTCACCAATATATCAATACCTCCTGGGAATTTCTCCAGGGCATAGTTGAACAACGCTTTCACATCCTCTGGTTTTGACAAGTCACCACCAATGTACGTAGCTTCGACTTTGTACTCACTGAAAATATAAACGTGTACAAACCAAAAACCTGTGTGAATGCTCTGTCTAGGTCACAGGTTCCCAAACCCTTGGGTTGCGACCTCATAGAGGGTCATCAGCAGTGGTGAGATATGACATTTTGAAAGGGGAAAAAATTGTGTCAACGCGTCTCCTACACAGAGATTTGTTTGCGAAATGCGGTGACAGCTCGTTTTCTGATTGGTAGATTTTTAGTGATGCATGTGCGCTAGTGCCTAGCCTTGTTTTTATGCTGGTGGCAATAATTTTCTTTGATATTTATAAGCTTGTTATTAAGTTACAATTTCCATCATTGCTCTAAATTTGTCGTAAGTTAACATTATTTTGGGAGTCGTCGTGACCGAGCGGCTAGATGCTCGCCGCGGATTGGAAGGTTGTGGGTTCGCTCCCTGGTGGAGCCGGAATTTTTTTTAAAAATGACCTTGGCTCCCAGGTTGACCCAGCCTTGAGTGGGTACCGGGTGCAGTCCTGGGAAAGTGAAGGCGGCCGGCGTGATACTGACCACATCACCCATCTTGTGCCGATTGGTCTATAAAAATATAGGTCCAGCCCTATATGCCTAAGGCGTGGAAAAGGGTTCTTTACTTTAAAAAAAAAAATATTATTTTGAATAATCAATATCCTGGAAATTCTATTCTTGGTGCATTATTATTTACCATTTTAACTCTTTCAGTCCCAAGGAACACATTGTATGTTCATATGATTCTACCTAGAAGCCCAATTAATGCAAGATGTGCAGATTTTACTTCTTTCTTGACTATCCCTTGGGCCTCTGAAACTTAACAATCTCCCCCCCCCCCAAAGCCTATTGTTAACTATAGGGTCAAAGGTGACTCTGCCTAAACAAAATGGGGTCGTAACTAAAGAAAAAAAAGTGAGTTTTCCCTGGCCTAGGTCATGCAGGGATGTGAGAAAACAAAAGAACTAATATGCTGGCTTGAAATACATACATAACTGGTGCAGTGAGCGGAACAGAGGGGCTCTATAGTGGGTAATATTTGATAGCTTAGCACTTAATAGAGTTGAAATAAGGACTAACATCACAGCACTTGGGACATTTCCATAAGTGCTCTGTCTTTATTTTCAGCAGCCCTTAAAGAGTTTTACTCCTGATGGAGCCTCTGCTCATCTTCTTAGTGTTTAGTTATTCATACATTTCCGAACCTGTTTTGTTCCGGAACTTGAATTATGTGTGCACATCCATTTTATAGATCTGGCTTTCTTGCATGCAGACTTTTGGTTCTTCACTGCTTAGACAGCTGCGCTCCAACTTCAGAGAGAAAACTTGACAATTACTTGCCTTTTATGACATGCTTATAAAGGAGGCAGTGGGTCTATTCCACCACCCAAATGGAGTCCCTGAACCCACACACAGGCTAGTACAAACAACAGTTTTAGTTTCGCCTTTCCTATGAATGCAGGGCATGTGGATCAGATCTCCTGGTCACCTCATGCGGCACCATTCTCTCCAGGCTATGATGATCTATCTTTCACATTGTTCACCTTCTCCGAAAGGCCCCTGACCACATCCAGATTGTCCACATCAATTAGCTAAAAGTGTTGCAGAACTAGCCAGTCTATCTGCCTATCTGTTTCTCAAAACACCTGCATCGCCTAGAGAAATAATAAATCCAAAGGGCACCTGCGATTTCTTTAGCAATAAGTGCATATGGCAGCATATCTTGTCATTGTGGGTGTGTGTGACTACAATTATAGGAGCTCCTCCTCTTCTGCACTTACTATTAAAAGGGTGGTTTGCACACTGGTGTTTACTGTTAGGCTGTGATATCTGTGCCTTTCGGCCCAAGATACCCGCTTTCAGAAAATCCTTTATTAATTAGTTTTCTTCTTTTACAACATGCTTGTTATGGGGCTGTGTGTCCTCACAAATAGGGCTCCAGGAACTCACAAAGGAATAATTATCAGAGTTCTAAATCAAGTATAGACTCTTCCATCAAGCCCTCATATAGACACCAGAAGAATCATCATCAGGAAAGGCTCAACCATGGGTCTAATAAACATCCAAGACCAAAAACAGGTTTCAATGAACCGCCAAACATGGAGAGCTATGACCTCTGCCCTATGCGCCCACCCTAGGCTCAAGTGGAAACACTAACTCCAGCATGGAGCTGGCAACAATAAATGAGACCAGCACTATTCACAAACACAGCTAAAACATCTTAACAGCAACAATCAGTATCTGTAACTACTGCTGGGAGAGACTGAGCACCTGTGAGCTTGTCATAGGTGAAGTGATGATTCAGCATCCACTGAGAGTCTACATTTACCATCTCCATCACACAGAACATAACATATGTGAAATCTTACATTTCAAACAAGGTGAGTAAATTCTTGATGTGCTGCACATCTCCAAACCCATTAAGGATAATGTTAGCACCTCTCTGAGCCAGGGTGCGAGCCACGCCTTCACCAATTCCACCTGTAGACCCCGTTATCAGGGCGACTCGGCCAGCAAGGTATTCTGTGAATAAGCAGGCAAAATGTGATCAGTGAAGATTTCCCGTGTGGGTTCCTGGGGCCCTTTTTGGGGGAAAACAAGAGTAGACCCACTGCTCCCCAAACATGTCGTAAGAGTTGACTAACTGGGGGTTTCCTTTGAAATCAGAGAGCATCTGCCTGAGAAGCAAGGAACCAACAGTCGGCACATTTATAAGTCAAATTTGTAGAAAAGATGTACATGCAACATTCAGATTCTGGAACAAGACTAAAGTCCAGAGGTGGACTAACAACTAGAGCTTTCTGCTGGAGTTTACAGCAAGTGAACATAAAGATGAAGAAGCAAGAAGATGATCAGTAATTTGCTGACACACAAGAAATAAAACATGTTCAACATTTGAACACTCCTGCTGTCGTTCAAGTTCCAATGGAACATAGGACCTCAGCAAACTTATGTGTACATAGGACCTCAGCAAACTTATGTGAATATAGGACCTCAGCAAACTTATGTGAACATAGGGCCTCAGCAAACTTATGTGAATATAGGACCTCAGCAAACTTATGTGAACATAGGACCTCAGCAAACTTATGTGAACATAGGAGCTCAGCAAACTTATGTGAACATAGGACCTCAGCAAACTTATGTGAATATAGGACCTCAGCAAACTTATGTGAACATAGGACCTCAGCAAACTTATGTGAACATAGGACCTCAGCAAACTTATGTGAATATAGGACCTCAGCAAACTTTTGTTAAGCCAGTAGTAGAATTTTTCATTACAGATTACATAATATCTTCTTTCTGTTCTTCGTTCACTGATGTAAGCTTTGAAGAAAAGTCCCAGTTGTTCATTTGGATTTGGCTTTTTGCCAGGGCCTGAGTTTTGTGTGTACATCCGTTTTACTGGATATTTCATTGGCCGCTTGCATTGTCAACATCTGGTTCTGCTTCCGTTATTTCTAAGTGACAGGGCTCTCTGTGGTCCGCTATCTGGTGTAGTCTTGACACATGTCCAAACCATTTGATCTGTTGTCACATCTAGTTTGAGGATGTGCTACAGACATTTCATGTCTGTTGTTTCAAGTTTTAAAAAAAAAAACTCTACAACTTACTTTTTAAACAATTTTATTCTTGCCATGTAGCCTGGAAATATTTGTCAGCTAAGCTCTTGTCACTAAATGAAAATCAGAAGAAAGACCCAGCAGAAAAAACACCTTAAACCAATATTTCCGAACCTTCTTTGTGCCATTAGAACCCCCAGGCCAAAGACCCCCCCCCCCCCCCACCCCCCCCCCCCCCCCCCCCCACCCCCTCCCCCCCCCCCCCCCCCCCCCCCCCCCCCCCCCCCACCCCCCCCCCCCCCCCCCCCCCCCCCCCCCCCCCCAAAAAAAAAACTTTCTACAATTCTTATGGCCTCCTCCCGTGTAAAATATAAATAATTTTATACATTAACGTATTTTCACCCCCCCCCCCTCCCCCCCCACCTTTCCCTCAAATCAAACTAGACCAAAAAACACATGGTCTGAACAAGGGATGAACATCTTGGCACAAGGGTCTTCTTCTTCTTCTTCACTTCCTCTTTTACCGCTGTGGGTGTCGAGGGAGAGATAAGGTTCTGTTTCTAGCTCTTCTGGCCGCCTCGACCATAGGCACATCGTGCTATTGTAGAGTTTCTCTGATGTTATCCTACCATCTTGTTCTTGGTCTACCTCGTGCTCTACGTCCTCCTTCTCTTTCCATGTATGCTTTGTATGGTATGGTGTCACAAGGCATTCTCTCTAAGTGGGCAAACCATTTCACTTGCTGTCTTCGTATGTAATTTAGAATTGGTTCTTTGCGGACTATTTCTCTTATGATCTCATTCCTGATCTTATCTCTTATGGTCACTCCTACAGCCCTTCTCAGACATCTCATTTCCATGGTTACTAATTTTCTTTTATGGTTTGTTGTGAGTGACCATGTCTGGCACTGGTAGCACAGAGTTGGAACAAATATGCTTTGAATAAGATGTCTATTTGTGCTGACTGGGATTGTCTTATGCTATCCCAATACTTGGTTTGCTTTACTGCATCTAATGTTAATTTCTTTATCCAATTTCCCATCTTCGGTAAATGTAGTTCCCAGATATTTAAACTCAGATGCCTGTTAAATGCCTTTGCACTCTATTGCTATGTTTAGATCTGTCTTCTTTTTTCCTATGGACATTACTTCTGTCTTTTCAGTGTTGATTCTCATATTATTTGTTTTACATTCTTCATTCATGGACGTTAGATGTTGTTGCCTCTCAAAGTCCAACCCCACGTCCCCGCCGTGAGAGGTGGTAACAGAACAAAGTAGGGGATTGCTAGGTGTGGGTGAAGTATGGTGTGGCCTCATGCCACGGGACCGCTACGGTAGCCATGAAGGCCACCCTAGGTCACCCCGAAACGTCCTGGCCAACGGGGCTCTGGTGAAGTTGTGACAGGCCTAGCAAGCCGGCAATGGATTTATTATCGCTACAGAAAACACAATGAGATATAAACGGCACAAGGGTAGTAACCCATAAGTGCTGTATTTTACTTCTAACTCAAGTCTGAGTTAAAAGAATCTCAGCGAAGTGCACGAGCTTTGTAGCACCGGCGAGGATCCTGAAATACTTTGGGTAGATTTTAACTTAAAATTATTCCGTCTGGGCAGTGCCATTAGGCCATTCTTTTTCTTCTTCTTCGCGTTCACCAGCTGCAAACTCCGGTGGAAAGTTCTGGTTGTTCATTCACTTTTGGACTGCAGTTCTGTTCCAGAACCTGAATTTTGCGTGTGCATCCGTTTGACAGATCTGACTCATTTGTTTGCAGACTGCTGGTTCCTTGCCTCTCAGGCAAATGCACTCCGACTTCGAAGGAAGCTCCCAATTAGTCTACTCTTACGACATGCTTTTGGGTAGGCAGTGGGTCTATTCTTGTTTTCCCTATAATAGGGCTCCGGAACCCACACGGGGAGGCCATTCTTTTTAATTTACAACTGCCGAGGGATATTTTACGAGCGCAACAATACATATGGGCATCCGATCTCACTACCCAGAGATCAGGGGAAATTACTAGAAGTCTACGTGAAAAAAATCCCAGCCTTTGCCGTGGCTTGAACCCAGGACTCCAGCACTCGAGGTAGGCGCCATGCCTCCTAAAACACATGGAGAAGGGAGCTAAAGAGTGAAGTTAAAAAGATGGAGAGGACATGGGAAGAGCTGCTTGCGATAACGAAGGACAGAAAAACTTGGCGTGAGCTGGTTGAGGGCTTATGCTCCATTGGGGGTTAAAATGGCAGAAGAAGAAGAAGAATCAAACTGCTCCACTTAACAATCAAACTGTATCCTGCAGGGCAGGAAAACACTGCCTTAAACTAAAGAAGACAACCTTGAGGTTACTTAAGAGTTAATAATCCTGTGGTGGTCTCATGTGTCTGTCACTTAATTTTTGTGAAGGGTAGCCTCGTGTATCTCTACATGATGATGTAACCTACAAAGTCAATGAATGGCACCAAGTCTAACACAGAGGGAAATTAATAAATATACTAGAGATGATTTATAATAAGCATATATATGTTGTTTTATGTATAAATGGCATCACAAACATACTGAATCTTTAGCAACGCAGCTTCTTTTGCAGAACTACAAAATACTAAACTGCTTCCAAATGAGACGGACAATAATATTAGCCAGATCAGGCCACCTTTAGTAAGTTGACGTTGCAAAAGCAAGATTGATTTAGGGCATAATTAATTGATTATTAAATTTGAAATATTTGGAAGTAATTAATAAATAACTGTTCTCACGGTTTATTTCTCTTATATTAATAAATAGATAAACGGGACCAAAGAACATGAACCGTCAACAATGTTATGTCTCAACTCACTATCTATCTTTCCCGACATAGCGACAGCGTACACGTACTGCTCGGGTCCAACAATAACAAACGATGGTGGCTCAATGACGTCCTCTGGCCGACTTTCCAGTCAGCAGATAGATGGAGAGAAGATTTATGAGGTATACAAAGAAAACCACTGTTAAACAAGGTCTATTTCTAACTCACTATCTATTGTTCCCGACATAGCGACAACTTATACTTTAACCCAGGCTCAGCAATAGCAGACGATGATGGCTCAATAATGTCTTCTAGTCCTCTTTTCCTCCAGTCTTCGTGAGAGAGAGAGAGAGAGAGTGAGAGAGGTCCTAAAGTAGGCACACCCCCACAGATTGCATCATTTCCGTTTTAGGAAAACGCGCGGTACCGGTATTGAGCCAAGTTCTGTTGACGCCATTTTGTGTTTTGTGCCGAATCGAGATAGGGAAAAAAAACAACAACATGAGAATGATAATACACATTAGGACAACAATGAATACATAATCAACAACCAGGAATCTCGCCGCTGGAAATGTACACATACAACAAAAGAAAGTTCAAGCCAAAGTCTGGATATTTTGTGTTCAGTTGTTCGTAGCATGAGCTCAATAACAGTGATTACAAACGCCCATAGTTAACCAAGATGGAAAAACAAGAACATTGTGAAGAAGCTGACGACCAGTCTTTTCGGACTCAGTTTACTCGTTATGTTCGGGAATATTGTACAGCTTCACATAACAGTTTTACTTTGAATGAGAGAAAGAGGGACAGAATAGTGAGGTGTTTACGGGATTCAAACGTTGAGACCAGTGCCAGATTCCGGTTTTGGGTGCGATCGAAGGGTTTCAGAATTGTCCAGTCTCAGGATGGAGAGGATATCTTGGCGTTGCCGCCAAAGGGGAATGACCCGAATGATGTACGATGTACATTCTTGTTCAATTATTTGTTTCATATATCATTACCTCTGGATTCACTTTTTTAAAATCGTCCCCTTGTAGGATGCACTTATTCGTTATTTTGAAGCCACGCCCTGGCTCTTGCCAGGAGCCGCAATATGGCCTAACGGTTGAATTTGAACAGGGTTTCTCATACCTCTCCTAGCAAGTTTCAGACTTGTGCAGGGTTCTTGTCACTTTGGGTCGTGAGTACAGGGACTGGCCAGCTGGCGTTGCAGAGTCATAAGCTCAACAAATGATTCATGACAAATCCCACCCAAGTGATGTGATTATCTGTACAGATGGCCCGACAAATCCCACCCAAGTGATGTGATTATCTGTACAGATGGCCCTGTGTTATAGCAAAGGCGAATGGACGTCGCCTAGTGCAACAAAGTCTAACATATGATATTACGTCTAGTTTGAGAATGGAGGTGGAGGCAATCACTGCTGGCTTGAGAATCAGCTGTACACACATGCTGTCATTGTCACTGACTCACAGAGCATGTAGAGACAGGTATGCTCCATGCAGAGTGGCAAGCATCACTTCAGAGGTCCAGGGTAGTTAGTATCCTTTGGATATTCTTTCCAGGTCATGCCAGTGTGTTGGGAAATGAACAGACAGATAGACTGGCCAGTTCTGCGCCATTTGGTGGTGAATTGATGTATGACAAGCTAGACCTTTTGAGTGCTATCAGGGGACGAGTGAACAGTGCAAAAGGGAAAATAGATCATTACGGTCTGAAGAGAATGGTGCTGCGAGGAGTTACCAGGGGATCTGGCTGACACTCAAGGGAAGGGTGAAACAGATGTACAATGAGACGGTTACTGGTGCCAACGGGACTGTATTTGGGTCTGTCTCCTTTGATCCCATCAACACTGCAGGAGTCCTTTTCAGGGCTTTTGGTGGTGTGCAGTTCTAAGCCATTGTATATATAATATGGTGCACAAAAGTTAGTCACAATTATAACCTACAACTCCCCCTCCTATGATGCTGGTTGAACGTGATGATTTTTCCCCAACAAAACACCACCACCACCACCTCTAGTTTAGGGATGCACAACTTGTTTTGGGTCCGTGGACCAAATTTAAAAATACCAATTAGGTGGTGTTCCTGTTTTGTATAGAAAAAAGAATTCATCATAAATATAACAACACCACACTATTTTTGTGTGATAGTCTAAAATTTTAATTCCTTGCCACACTTCTAGCTAGTAAAAATTGCTCCACAGGCCACTTTTGGCCAGCGGGCCATAGTTTTCCAACCCCTGACGTAGATTCTCCAGCTCTGTATGATCCTATAACCAATGCATCTTCAGTGGTCTGTTTCTACATTTGTGGAGAAAGGTCTCTGTCTCATTTTCCAGGAACTGTACATGGCCAAAATACCTCGGCTTTCGGAACAGGAAGCAGTTCCTGAACCAGTTCTCAATGTTAGGAAGAGGATGATATCAGGCAGGGCTATTCAATTCAGTTTACTCAGGGGCCATAAATGTTGACAGTCAGAAACACTGCTAGCATACCTGCGCAATACAGTACAAGCTGGTCCCTTTGAGGATAGGCAGAGCGAGAGGACTTCTCCGCAATTGTCATCAGATAGGATTGAAACCTACATAACACAATACTATATCTGCTGGTCCTTGGTGAGGATAGGCAGCATCAGAAACAGCATTTGCCAGAGCGAGAGGCCTTCTCCGCAAGCACCATGTCTCGGAGAAACAAACCTAACGGAAAGCGCAACGGACAGAGGAAACAACCCACTGACCGATCTACCCGATCTAACTCGGCGGCCAGGAACACGCAGACAGTTACTACCGGATCACAGGAAGACGCCCCGACTACCAGTGAGGCCCTGAGTGACGTTCCAGCGTCACCTGAACCAACACAGCCAACTCCACAAACATCTCCAGATCGACGAAAGACAGGCAGCTATGAATTTCCTGCCACAATATTTCTACGACAGACCAGCTCGGGCCGGACAGCAATCACTACACTGGCAACGCTAACATTGATCAATATGCTGGAGATCATATTAGGCAAGAGGGCAGTCGCAAAGATTAGAAGAACTCGAGAAGGAGTAATAGCTTCACTAAACAGAACCAACCGCACCTCAGACATGCTGGATGACATCCAACACAACAGCAAGAAAGAGCTCCGACTATCCGAGGAGATAACTGTGACGGCTACAATCTTCCAGAATGTAAGACGCTGGGTGATCCGAAGAGTCAACCTGCAATGGAGCAACGAAGAAATCCTGCAACAAATAAGGAAAGAAAACCCCAATGTCAACATCAACCAAGCAGAGAGACTGGGCTCAAAACGGCATCCATTGCCAGTGGCGGTGATAACATCGGAAGGAGAACACATCCCGGATAAAGTTTGCCTAAATCAAAGAATGCAAAGACCAGAGCAATACGTGCCACAGGTGATCCAGTGCTCTCGTTGTCAAAAAGCATGGCACTCCCGGGCCACTTGTGTGAGCGAACATGAAGTATGCCGATACTGTTCACAACCCCATGCCTTCAACAATTGCCCGCTGGCAAAGCTGGACACAGACTTTAGGTCTCCCAATTCGAACAGGAAGTGCGCAAACTGCTACGGCCAGCACAGCACCAGATACCTGGGGTGCCCTTATCTGCAACAATGCAGAGAAATAGCAACCACGGCCATACGGGAAAAGATTCCATACCATGAGGCCCGCAGAAGACACAAAGCAACCCAAGGCATAACTGCAGCCATTACCACCAAATTAAGCAACGAGGTGGCTCAACTCAAAAGTGACATCCAAGCTCTCAGAGACGAGAAAGAAGCATCCAAATCCCAACGAGATGAAGACAGATGAAATAACAGGCTTGAGAGCGATAATGCAGGCGACTCTTGACACCCAGGAACGGATGACAGCAAAGATGACGAAATTCAAGGAGGACATCATGAATGCACTGGCCACTATCCAGACACAAAAGGAACAACCAACTAAAGCAAGGGAAGACGAGGCGGGCATCAATGATCTGCGGGATAACCAACAACTTCTCGCGAAAGAAGTCGCAATGATCAAGAAGGCACTAGCTGAAACAGAGGAAAAGTTACGTAGAGCATACGAAGAAAATAACAGACTTAATAAGGAACTGCAAGCAACCAACATAGTGATGGAAAAAAGAGAGAAAGCACGGAAAGAAGCAGCAAGAAGGCAGCAAATACAGGGAGCCGAGACCCAGAAAAAGCCACATCAAACACCAGATAAGAAAACACCAACGCCGCTGATGAAACAATTTCCGGTCGAAACTACTAACCAAATAAACCAACGCATCAGGGAGCTGGAGGACCCGAACTTCTTTAACTCAGAACTGCAAGATGATGATGTTCTATGGTTATCACCAGAGGAACCATATCGACAGCCAAAACCTGAAGTCAAACGAGGTCGACACCGTTACCTCAAACACTAATACCAGATACGACACAACCAAGGCCAAAATTACCGAAACCCTATGTAGGAGTAGTACTTTACAACAAGGATACGAGAAAATCACCAAATAATACCAGACCTCACCAGTATTGCCATCAGTACCTGCCCAAGTCAATCAACCACCGGTCCTTCTTTCCCCGGAAACAACAAACAGCCAAGGAATACCACAATAAATCGATTCAACACCCAATCATCTGGAGCGCAGCACAGGGCCAGTCAAATTACAAAAGCAACAGCAAGAGCGGAAACCACAACAAATAGAAAGCAACAAATATTGAACACAATCCAAAACCAAATGAGATCGAGACCAGAAAACGTCACCACAAATATAGCTGAAAGGAAAGTGAGCAGAAATGTGAGCGGACCTAGCTGAAAGTGGTTAATGAAAGAGAATTTGAATTTGAACACTGCTAGCAAACTGAGGCCAAGATTAAAAGATCATTAATAAAATACAGTTGGCAGTTGAATAATCCTGATGTAGGCTGTGGGTGTTTTTCTTTTTGGTCCAATTTATTCATATTCCCTAGTCTCCACATATTTGTTTAAAACTGGAAAAGGGGAAGATATGCTCAGCAATACAGTCACCATGGAGTTGGTACTGACTGAGGTGGAAGAAAAGCCCTAAACACCACCCAGACCTGGATAGGTGCAAGCCCTTTTCATGGTCCAAACGGGATTTACAGAAATCAAAAGTTACCTAATAAACCGTACTTAATCATATCGACAGTTTTAACACACACTATAAGAACAGCTGAGGAGATTAGCTGTATTGTTTTGAAACAAACACTTTTAACTCAGCAATTCTTGCAAACATACTATATTTGAGGCTTTTTAATACATTTCCAAATAAACCTAATGGTCAGTATGTGTGTTACTGAAAACAAAGAACAGGAAAAAAAGGTTCAGTTTTTATACTGGACAGTAGAAAATTGAAAATATTTATGTGTCACATACCGATTGGGTAGTTATCAAATAGCACATTACGCTTTCTTTGGGATTCAAAGCGTTGAAAGATCCATATCCATTCCATGAGGCTTTCGGTCAGTCCTATATTTTTGTGGATCAGTTGACACTCATTGATCTTTCACCTAATTAATTCATTAAGCCTCTCAACTTCAAAAGCAGAACAAAACTGGTATCTGATCTGAAAAGCTTCAAAAGTTAAAATATTTACTGCATCAATGCCAATGATTTCAACCACTGAAGACGTCAGGCGTAATTCATGGCCCGTGATGAAAATAGGTTTCCATCTATCTTCTACTCCCTGTAAGAGTTTTTATGGCCCATTTGGGAGTGAGGGGGGGGGGGGGTGGATAGACCTATTACTCCTTAGCAAATATGTTTTTGTAAAGTGTCCAGTTGAGCGTTGTTGAAATCAGATGTGTAAGGCTAAAAGGTGCATACCACAGCACAACATCTGACCTTTTGAGGGTGATCGTAAAAGAATCTGCCTGATATTATTGTCTTATTCTTGTGATTGAATGAAGGTAATTATTGATTATTGCAGACGTTATTCAAAAGAGTTGCCATTATCGATGAATTTTTTGACATCATTTATGCTGCACATTCTGAGAATGGCCATGTTGGACAATCCCAGACATTTCGAGCGGTAAGTTTTTCTTCACTGTATATAGTATCAAAGAAACATCTCTTACAAAGCATATTTATTCACACTCTTTGCTACCAGTGCCAGACGTAGTCACTCACAACAAACCATAAAAAGAGGAAGTGAAGAAAAAGAAAAGAAGAGTCACTGTTTAATATAACATCACTGTATATAGAACATCAATGTATATAGTATATAACATCACTGTATGTAGAATAACATCACTGTATAAAGTATATAACATCACTGTATATAGTATATAACATCACTCTATGTAGAATAACATCACAGTATATAGTATATAACATCACAGTATATAGTATATAACATCACCGTATATAGTATAACATCACCATATGTAGTGTAATGTATCATCACTGTACAGTATTACATCACAATATATAGTATAACATCATTGTATGTAGTATAACCATCACCATACATAGTATAACATCACTGTATATAGTATATCATCACTGTATATAGTATAACATCACTGTATGTAATATGTGGGTCTCTGTGGCAAAGTGGTCAAGCCATTTGCCTCACAACCTGAAGGTCATGAGTTCAAACACAGACTGCCACAGGCATAATTTTTTTTTGAAAGTTCCTGGAATCGTCGCTGAGCAGCGGAGTTCATTCATGATTTTTGTGATAGTCTCGGCAGGCAACTAACCTTTCCATGGAGAGAGACTAAGCCATCTAGGATAAATCCAGGTGCAATGAAGTCGATCCTCTTGACTCTTAACTCTCTTTAGCCCAACTTTCCAGTCTGTGTTGCAACACATTAGTGTGTCTGCCAAATCTGGCTCTCTAGCCCTAGCAGGTGGCCCTCAGATCACTGCCACTTGTATTGTATTAATGATCTGTCTTTGCTGGAGCTCTGGCCTGCGGTGATCCACAATTTCAACATTTTCACTCTTGAGTAAACTTAGTTGAACAGTCGTGCTGTAGTGTGTTAAAAAAATTGTGATGTACTGATCTCTTCAAATAATTCTCCAATTGTTTCTTCTACCAATTTCTAGATTAAAGCCATGTATGCGCTGGTGCCTCGGGTCCTGATAATTAAGTTTATTGAGATGTGTCCGCAGTGCTCAAATACTCATTCCTATGCAATGAAAAGAAAACTGAAGTTGCCATCAAGTAATGTTATCAGTGCTGACAAACTGGCTGGGGTGAGTAACTGCCTGTTTATGAATCAGGGATGCTTTTCTTCTTATTCATCTCTTCTTTTCATCTTCTTTATCTTCGTCTGCTTCTTCTTCCACATTAGCCCTTAAAAATGGCACATTTTGTTGTGGCTTACAGCTGGGCAGTGATATCTGTTCATTTCAGCCTAACATTCAGTTTCAACAAACCCTTTAACCATTCTTTTTAAGGGACCAAGGGTCTGTTCTTGTCTTCCCTAAAATGGGATCCTGGGACCCACATGGATTTTTGGGGATCAATGTTTAGAACTTTCAAGAAATTCTCTTTAGGCTGCAGAAGTGCAGTAGCTAGCATGTTGTCTGCCAGGTCAGTAGTCATAGGTTCCAATTCCCATGAAGACAAATTTAAAAAATGACACATAGGCCCTCAAGGTTAACCTAACCTTAAATGTCATGTTATCACAATTGACATCAATTCACATTGAGCATTCCCATGCGGGCTCAGTCTTAGAAGCAGCAGCCACTGTAAGGTACTTTTACTGATTGTTCCTATGAGGAGTTGGTTATGTCTCCTATCTTGGCCCCAAAGGTGGCATAGCCGCGCTTTACCATGCTTTAATCGCTGGTCACGCAATCATGTTAGTGTCAGTCATCATTATCCAATAACCCAGTCCTTATGGCCTTAATGATATCTGCTGTTTCCATGCTTCTTCCTGCATGTGTTGGTTCACTGCTTTCTAGTTGGTCCGCTCATCCATTACCTTTTATAGCAGCATGACAAACTATATAAATCCAGATGAGGAGGGTTAAGTGTGATTTCTGAATGCTTTCTACCCATCCAGAACATATACTACCTGTTGTGGTTTTCTTAAATATGTTGATGAAGTCTGATACAATTGCTGCATATGTGGCTGCTTGTTCTGCTGCCCGTACTGGTGCTGTGGAAGCAGCGGTTATCTCCATGGTCATGTTTGACCTGGGGTGCCATGAAAAGCTCTGGAAATTGCAATTTCAACTTCAGAGTACACGGGTCACCCCATAGTTGCTCCGGTTCTGTACCAAGGAATACCTCTTAGAATGCCCATCACTGTTTTTTGTGAAAAAAACTGTCACAAACTGCAGTCTCGGCAAATCCAAAAGCATATACAGTCATTAAAAGCATCCATCAGATGTGCTAACACAGACAGTCCAATGTTAGAAATGTAGTTCTCATCAGTGGAAGCAACAGTTACAGCAGATCATTAGTTGTTTCGAATAATCACATAAGAAATCACCAGTTAGTTCTGTGGCAACAGGCTACTCACCATTTTCTAAATCTAAAGTTCACAACACCACGCTGGTCACAGTAAAAAAATCATTCCAAATAAAATCGCAGCTTACAGTGTCTCGCCATACACTCAACTCAGTAGCTAGGCAATAAAACTATCCCTTTAGTCTACATATGGAGGAAAATGTAACAGCCAGCTATTGTTAGAAGCAAAAATTGACGACGACTAAAAACAGTCAACATGTCTAAAAACAGTCAATATTCCATATTGACCAGAATTAATTGCTTTCTACAACATGAGAGGGGGGGGGGGGGGTCTATTTCCCCCCCCCACCCTCAAAATGTGGCTCTAGTTCCTACATGGGTATTCAAGTTGATATCGACATCATCCATTGAGTGCCATTTGATCAACAGCAACAGTGATTCCCAATTAGCCAACACCCCTCCTAATTTTGGCCAGCCATGGGCTCTATATTTCTTAATATTCATGCTGAAGAACTTATGAGGGGCATACTGAGAGAATGTCTAATGACAGAGAAGTAAAAACTGTGTACACAAGGGAGTTGAAGGGTTGTAGACCATGAGGCAGACCAAGAAGACGATGGGAAGATAATGTGCAGACAGACCTGCAAACACTTGGTGTCACCAACTGGAAAGAGAAGGCCAGACAGAGAGATAAGTGGAGGTGGGTGATATCTGCAGCAGTGAACCTCAAGGGTTCGCAACGCTGAAGAAAAAGAACTGCATAATGCACGTCTGTATTCCAGGGCCCCATTATTGTGAAAAAGAAGAACAGACCCACTGTCTCCCCTCCCAAACAAGCATGTCATAAAATTTGACTAACTAGGGGTGTTTACTTCAAAGTTAGAGCACATCTGCCTGAGAGATGTGAAACCAACAGTCTGCTTAGAGATAAGCCAGATGTGTAAAACAGATGCGCACACAAAACTTAAGTCTAGAACAAGACCTGTTCATTTCCCGACACACCATCAGTGATTGTTTGGCTTAGACTTTAGTGAAGGTGATTCCCAGTCCTGGTGAACCAGGTTTTTCTTTCATGGCAGACACATTAGAAACCGACCATTCTCATGGCTTTGGGACACTAGAAAAAAAGTCACATAAAAGAGACTAAAGCCTCACAGTGTAATTTTTCCCTAAGAAAACAATGGATGGACGCTGGCTAACCTCCAGTGTAGAGCTTGTGGATCAAGAATGTAAGAGGGTGATGAAACCAGTAAATTAACATCAGAGAATCAAATGGTTTGGTCATATGGTCAGAATGGAACAAAATCAGCCAGCAGGTAGAGCTTACTACAGGAGAATGGCAGGCCAAGGCAAGAGGTCGACCAAGAAAGAGATGGGTGGAGACAGTGAAAAAGACACTACAGAAATACAAAATGACATGAACACAAGCTACGCAGCTAGCAAAGAGCAGGAAACTACATCTAACTCCTGTCCACGACACTTGATGGCATAAGTAGTATGGCTACGATCTGCGAGGCATCTAGAACAAGGGCAGCTGAACAGCAAAGATAGGCCAGAAAGGGCCGTCAAACAGGCCCTTTGTCTATATACACTGTGCCCTACCCTCATTGTCCTAGGCTCTTCCGGGCACGTATTGGACTTATATGTCACCTCTGGACTCACAAACATTCAACTGAAATTTCATCATTTGTGATGGACGAATGAACTGAGTAGGGCATTAGAAGAACAGAAAGAAGAAAACACATGTAATTAATGCCATGATTTAGCAAATTCACAACTAGAGTTCATATTGTAAATTTTTTAACTAACATAAGAATATTAATTTCATCAATTAAACAGCAAACTCAGAACACATATGCTGTGGTGAAACAAGACCCCGACCTGTTGGAAGAAGCTTTTGATGAATCTGAGGTATGTTGTATCTGATAGTTGGTGTTTTAGAAAGTTTGTTTATGTACGTAAGAGTTTGGAGGCTACTGAGATGTGGTTCTTAAGAAGAATGTTGCGAATACCTTGGACTGCCAGAATAACTAACAATGATTGGCTGGAAATGGTTAATGAAAGTAGAACATTATATACAACAATGAGAAGGAGACAAGCAAATTTCTTTGGTCATGTGATGAAAAAAGGAGCACTGAGAAATATTGTGATGACTGTAAAGGTCACTGGTAGCAGAGGCAGACCAGTTGTATTTATGTATTTAACCAGAATGGGTTAATCATTCTCCACTTATTTCTTGTGGGGAAAATCATTTGGTGTGTCCTGTTTGGTGTACATCCAAAGATCTGGAATGGATTAAGGACATATGATGAGTACCACTATATTTGATTATTGTCCTGTTTACTTTCATTATCATTGTATATACACACACACAAAGTATCAGGAAGTGAAGTTGGAAGTAAATGCAACCATATGACCCATTAAGTTTCAGAAAGCATATACAAATCTAGGGCTAGCATCATATATCTGGTTCACCTGCGTACGTGGAAATGGTTCCCCCCCCCCCCCCCCCCCCCTTCCGCCCCATAAAAAAACTTGGTTGAAGTAAAGGTTATGATTGCCCCATTGTGGAAGGAGAAGGGGGGGGGGGAGGCAATAATATAACTACCTGCCTAACAAGCACACAGTAAAATGTGATTAATTTGGGGTATTTAATTAAAAGAAGGGGGGCATCTGCCTGAGAGGCAAAGAACCAACATTCTGCTAAAATATATATATAAGCCAGATCGATAAAACGGATGTGCACGCATAAGTCAAGTTATGGAACAGGCCCGAAGTCCAGAAGTGGACAAACAACCAGAACCTTCCGCTGGAGTTTATAGCAGGTGAACTCTAAGAAGAAGAAAACAAGAAGTAGAAAAATGTTACATTGCACAATCCAGACTGAAGCCCCTATACTTTTTTGTATAATTGTATATTGTTGGATCATATACTTGTTGATCAGGTCTTTTCATTCTGGCAGTCAGGTTCTCCACACGTCATGTTTTCATCTTTGTAGCCTGTCAAGCATGCCAGATTTTGGATCTAAATATTTTTGGCCTGTCGAGTTTGCCAGATTTTGGATCTAAATATTTTTAGTGTGTCGAGTTTGCCAGATTTTGGATCCAAATATATTTGGCCTGTCGAGTTTGCCAGATTTTGGATCTAAATATTTTTAGCCTGTCGAGTTTGCCAGATTTTGGATCCAAATATATTTGGCCTGTCGGCAGATTTTGGATCCAAGTATATTTGGCCTGTCTTGTCTGCTCTTCCGTTCCACTACACCCTGCAGTTTGTTGCCATTAAACAAGCACCCACAAATATTTCCTCATATGTCACTTCAAGTTGTGCCAATTATTCTTTGAACTATGATCAAGAACCATTGCTGATTGAACATTTAAAAAAAGGTGAATTTTTTTCTTTCTAACACAACAACAACAGGAAGCAACAACAAACCAGCAGGAAGTTACTAATGCGTTAAATGAAATTCTAGCTGGAAAAATTGCTGGAGCTGAGATAGATACCGAAGTGCACGTAGAAGAAGAGGACACAGGATTAGTAACAGGCAGTGTTATCTTTCCTTGCCATCTTTGTAAAGAAGTGTTTTCAAAGAAGAAGCATTTGCAGAAACACATAGGGAACCACCAAGACTTTAAGCCTTCAGTGGTGAGTGTTCTAATAAGTATTATTTTGTTTTAGTCCTTAAGGAAGAAAATAGGGGCCTTTGAGCTAAAATGTTGTAGAAAGATTCTCAGAATACCATGGACCAAGAAGAAAACAAATACTGACATCTTGAGAAGTCTGAACATCGAACAAATAAACAAACTTTATTTTTAAAGGGTTACGAAGTGGGCAGGCAGGCCCCTCTAACATTCTGCCCTTCGAGGCCTCTCTCTGTTCTTACATCATTTCATTCATACATCAAGTAATAGTATAAACATTATCAGTAGCATAAAAGATAGTCAGTACAAGCACTGGAATGTGCACATTTCTAGCTACAGTAAACTGTAGTAGTTTCAGTAAATCTAGGGAAAATGTGGGCCATTTCTAAAATATTTTTTATCTTCTATGGCAGCTTGTAATCTGTGCTTGTATAAGCAAGGAAGATTGGCTAGTAAACAGCATCTTGTCTTGGAAACTGAAATATTTTGGCCATATCAAGCAGCATGGCACTTTTTTTCTGGCATAGTGCCAGGAGCTGACCAACGTGACAATGGGCAGAGGATTTAAGGGCCGGGCCACCTTGGGTAGAAAAGTGCCGAGGTGGGAAATCTGGTGAGAGAACGAGTTTCTTTCAGGCAGGCTGAGATGAGAGCGACGTTCTGCAAAGGGCCTGCTTCATGATGATGATGATATCTGTTTGTTTTCTCTCTGGGCATTAGGCTGAAGTCCTTGGATAAAATAAGATGCTGGCACTGCATACTGTTTTGCACAGCAAGAAAAGGCTATGACTTTGTCAAAGTCATCTAATTGCAACTTAGGCAAATTTTCACCCAGACCTTCTCGCCTCATGACACTAAGAAAAATAGATTATGACCCCGTTGAAATTCCAGAATAAATAGTTTTAAAAAATAATTTTGTTTTACATAGATCACTAATAAATTATTTTTAAAAATGTATTACTTTTTTGTTCGTTTAAAATATATTAAGAAATATGAAGGGAATAATCAGTAAACACGATGGGGGAAGCGTTAAGTGGAATACACTCCCTAGTGTTAGAAACATAAGTATCCGGTGATTCTTGTCATGACCCCTTGACTTCAGTCACTCAGGGTTACATGAACATTTTATGTAAGCTTAGATTTAATTAAACTGTATTGTAGGAAACCTAATGCTGTTTTTAGTTAATGTATTCATATCTTGACCTTCTCAACATAATGCAGCAAGTAGCATTAACTCTGTGTCTCATAAATCGGTAATTATAAAGGTGATATTTATGGGACAGCAAGTGAAATGGTTTGCCCACTTAGAGAGAATGCCTTGTGACACCATACCATACAAAGCACACATGGAAAGTGAAGAAGGACGTAGAGCACGAGGTAGACCAAGAACAAGATGGAAGGATAACATCAGAGAAACTCTACAACACCCACAGCGGTAAAAGAGGAAGTGAAGAAGAAGAAGAAGATATTTATGGGAAATCTGACTCAAGAAAAATTGGAGTTTTGTGGCTTCTTAGGGCAAAATTATAAATGCATTATCAGGGCTGTTATTTGTCACTTTACAATATGCCAAAGCCATATCTGAATTCCTACTCCTAATAGGCCAAATGAAGTATTACTTTTCTTGCAACACAATTTTAATTTGCCACTCAAAGTTCAAATGTGATTTTCTGGAAGCAAGGATTTAACACTTTGGTGACACTGGCGTAGCCAGAGAGGAGATGTCTGAGATAAAACCCACTGTAACAGAGTATCAGTGTTTTTATGAGTCTGCATGGGACTTTAGAGTCATAGCTGACACTGTCCACAAAAACTAGTGACACTGGTCCGTGGTCCCTAGGGACTGATGGTTGCCTACAATTAAAAATTTTAATTACACAGTACATCACATATGTACATATATTTTATAAACAATCATCATCATCATGTAGCAGGTTCTTTGCAGAATGTCGCTCTCTTTACAGTCTGCCTGAAAGAAACTCTGTCTCTCGCCAGTTCTCCTGCCTCATGCACTTTCACACTCAAGGAGTCACTTATATTCTGTGCCCATCTTCATGTTGGTCGGCCCCTGCCCCTCCTTCCTGGTACCATGCCTTGTGCTATAATTTTTTCCAATCTGTCGTGGCGCTAGATATGACTAAAATATTTTATAAACAATAGTCTACCATTTATCCTTGTTGCACATGGAACCATTCAGTCCGTAAGTGCTGGAATCCTCTCTGTAAATCCTGCAGAGTGTAGCGGCTGACAACACCAGTCCTGTGTTGGTTTCTTATTCTTCTTTGGCTTCCTGCAGAGTGTAGCGGCTGACAACACCAGTCCTGTGTTGGTTTCTTATTCTTCTTTGGCTTCCTGCAGAGTGTAGCGGCTGACAACACCAGTCCTGTGTTGGTTTCTTATTCTTCTTTGGCTTCCTGCAGAGTGCTCTTGTCTGACTACACCCCTTTTAACATGTTGTTCTTGCAGTCTGGTCATGGTTGCAGTTTCATAGTCATCGCTCAGTTCTTGTAAGTGTCTCACTTCTTGTAGAGCATTCATTATATAAGCCTGGATCAGAGCACATCCATCCTCTTCAGTAACTTTACCTGCAAGCCTATCAGCTTGCTCATTTCCTTGCATACCCGCATGCTCTGGCATGAATATGAAACTAATATGTTTCAGCCCTGACCTCCTTAGAGACTCCAACCACTGATTTCAGACCAAGCCAACTTCTATCTTCCTGAGCATACTCATTGAGTCACATGTTTTATCTATCGTTAGTTAGTTAATCGATAGATTATCCTCACTGCACATTGGACAAGTCAGTATGCCTGGCTCGCTAGCTCGGTTAGTTAAACCTGACTGTGCGACGTCCGGATTCATGCTCGATAGTAGGCAGAAAAGCCACATTACTCCCAGATTTACGGTCTCTAACATGGAATCAAGGCCAAAGGGTTCTGATATCCATAGTACTGAGCCACAGGGTTATCAACTCATGCTTTCTGGGTGTTACATATATATATATGTATATATTGCCAGCCGCTGCAGAAAGTATCTCCTAGTTCAAAAAAGAGGAGGTTATTTCCACAAACATACAACACTTCATTTGTGAGCAGGCCAAGGAGAGCAGGTCAGCAGCGCATCATCCTGGACGTCGACTCGAGTCCCGCGGCAGCCCAGGTAATATTTCATGTCTTCCTTTTCTGGCGTATTTCTTTTTATTTTGCCATCTCTAGAATGGTAGGTTGGTCGAGGCATAAATCTGCATCCACTGCTGTATATCCGTTGCTGTCACTAAGAATCACATCGCCCATCAAGTGTTGGTGGGACTAGCACCACATACTCAATACATCCAAAGACATGAAAAGGATCCTTTACTACTGCAGGGGTTCTCAAACTTTTTTTGCCGTGGCACCCCAAGGGGCACAAAAAATATGCCGCACACTTACACTCAGAGCGGTTGAAAAACTAGGGAAAGAAGCACACACACAAACGGTGGAGATTTAATGTTCAGTTGTCTTTAATGCGATTGATGAAACTGTTTGGATTTATTTGTAATAATATCCTTTTCATTTTTACTTTTAGAAATTCTCTTCAGGGATGACCCTCTCTGAAGAGATATAGCGCAGCATTTGAACATTTCTCAACATTCATGTACTAAATGCATTCATTACATTCCAGATGACTTTAATTTGGACAGAACAAAGCAGCCATTAGGAACACTTCTTTATCTTTATTTTCCCACCTGAAACAAAGCCAAACATAAATGAATGCAACCGAGTTAGAATGCATTTCAATCATCATTTGCTCAGCCGTTCGTTCCATGTAATTTAAACGCACCTTCATATTCTGGTTAGCAAAATTTTCAAATTTGATTTGGGCAAAAAAATGCATGATTACACACAAAAGCACACACACACACACACACAAAACGCTTTGCCTGTAAATAAAAGTACTAACTTGAAAAGGCTATCAGTTACTACTGTACAGACCACATTTTCCACCTTAAAACTTCAGCTAAAATGTAATCACAACTTTATTTATCCACTGCACCTTCACGAAAACAGATGGAGGATCGGTCACACCTTGAGATAAATACAAGGACAGTTCTTAGCACATTTCGGTTGGCATTGTATGCAGCATGATACACGCTCGTGTGAATGTGAAACAAGGAAAAAAGTCTTTTCGACAGTGGCGAGAAAAGTCAACTCAAATTGAAAGAAGAAAAAACAACTCTTGTATCTTCTAATATTTTGCGGTGCCTCTGTGAAGAGGTTGCGGCTCCCCGGGGTGTTGCAGCACACAGTTTGGGAATCACTGCCCTACATTATGGTGTTCCAGTCTTTCTTAGTTCTTGACGTTCCATCCTTTCTTGGTTCTAAATGTTCTAATCTTTCTTGGTTCTTGATGTTCTCCTTCTTTCTTGGTTCTTGATGCTCCAGTCTTTATTGATTCCAAGATAGTCTTGTTGATGCCCCACTTTCTGTCTCATTCACCCATCTCTCTCTCTCTCTCTCTTCTGCCCCCCCCCCCCCCCCCCCCCCCCTTCCCCCCCCCCCCCCCCCCCCCCCCCCCCCCCCCCCCCCCCAATCTTTATCTCTGTCACACACATTGTGATCAATATTTCCTATGATGTTGCAGGCTATAATATTGGCAGCATCACGACCAGACATTGACCTGATGGCAATCAACTGTGTTGCAGGGAGAGTCTCTGTATTGAATGCATGTGAAAATGCTCTCAGAATACTCCAGGTTTGCGGGCGAGAAGATGTAAGCACATTTTAACATTTTAGGTAAAAACCTACTTATTTTGATGTACGAAAAATTCGTTTGTTTTGTATTTTGCAGTAACCTTGTAGTGGCCAAGACCCAGGTTCAAATCCTCGGTAAGGGATGGATAATTTATTTTTCTGCTGAGGGCACAGTCCATGCCGACTGAACTAGCCATGTGGTCCTAAGTCCTCAGGCTTAACCCCACCCCTCTCTTGCCTTCTTCTCTTCATAGACTGCCCTAAAAGGAGTTTAAGAAATACAGGCAGAAAAATACATAGACATGAAGTTCTTTATCTAGAACTTTCTTGCCCTGCCTCTTCTCTTCCCCACTACAGAGCCCTGTGTCCGATCTGTCAGCATGGTGCATTACAGGCAGTAGTTCAACCCTGATGAGGCCCTCTCCTCTCCAGGCGACCATTTTACTTTTAGCCTATATCCTCCATGGACACAGTTTCCAGTCTCAACCAAGGGGAGGTGGAGCTGGCTTGTGTGATCACAGGAACAGCAGCAGGGGAGAGCTAGCTGTCCTCAACAGACCAGACCACACCTTGCAGACCTAATCATGTTGATTAGCTTTTATATTTTCTCATATTTTGTTTACATCCCCCCACCCCCATTTTTTTTTCTAAACCTATTTGTTTTTTAGAAAGTTGTGTAAAAGTAAGAATGAGAAAGGTCAGTTTTTGGGTTATGGTTAAAAGTTCACAGGGTCATTTTTATTGGTTTTATTCCAGATGGTTTGGTCTTTTTCCAGACCCGGTCACTCAGAGAAGCCGCAAAATGGGCCCATTTCCCATAGTGTCATTTTTTCAACCTGTCTATAGTGACCTGTTTATGAAACGTATAGTTAATGCTATTGGCTGTGTTCATGCCAGTGCAAACATTTGTGAGGTCAGGATGTGAATATATTAACTGTAATGACTGCCCTTTTGTGTCTCCTCCACACTGGCTATCTGTGGTGCAGAGTTAACACTGGCTCTGAGGTCTAGAGGTTCACAACTCAATCAAAGCAGACATGATCCTCTTCATGGTCACACAACGTCTAACAACGGTTAACACCAGCGGCACATTTCACGAGTTTATTTACACGTTAGCTCAATACACAAATCACAGGTGAATCCACTTACAGCATTCGGACAATAGACGTTGACATATTCACAGCTGGCTTTGACAATCAAACAGGGTACCATCACAGCTGGCCTTCTCGATCATTCATTCCTCGCCGATTCAGATCCACATGCTCTAGTCATTCTCCATTCATCTTCACAGCTTCATTTTCCATCCTTTCTCTCTGAGGCCCAGTCACCGAATGCCCGCCTGATTCTCAATCCCCCAGATCTCCTCATTCACACGTGACACACTCTTTCCTGTCGTTTCACCATATCTCCGTGAAACCCATGCTCTCAGGGACTTCCCCAGTTATGCCAATCATCCCCTGACATTATCCCTATTTATAACATCATTACATTAACCAAAAATAGTATGGGCGGGTCCTTTAAATCATTGTTTTTGAAAAGCCTGTTTGATGTCAAATAGAGGGTCACAAGGTCATGACAGGAGTCAACCAATAGGTATATTTTGTTGGCCCAGAGAAAATGATTCCATTTACTGTTTCACTATGTTCATGTTTATTGATTAGTTCTTTTTCTGTGTGTGTGTGTGTGTGTGTGTGTATATATATATATATATATATATATATATATATATATATATATATATATATATATCTATATATATATATATATATATATATATATATATATATATATATATATATATATATGTATTAAAAAAATGTGCATAATTAAAAAAAAAAAATTTTTTATATTACTGACCTATGTCAGTTTTTTTTTTGTTTCTGTTTTAAAGGATTTATTTTTATAAAGAATTCCCTCGGGGGGTCATTAAATTTTTAAAAACCATTATCCAGGAGAAAAGGTTAAGAAGCGCTGTACAAAACATAACTCCACAACTTGAGCTATGTTCTCTGGAACAGTTACACTGGTGAACCAAATGATGCATTCCCATTTCATATGTGAATACACTGTTTATTGCTTCAATGAACAGTTGTGTTTGTGTGTTTATTTTCACTAGGTTCATGTGTGTAGAGGTGCAGAAAAATCTTTATTAGGTCTCTTTGGCAAAGAGGACAACCTTCCTGGAGCCGCTTGGTTGCGAAAGGTGGAAGGTAACGTCCAACCAGAGCATTCAGTGTCGTCACTGATTCGATGTGTCAACGACAATCCAGGTAAAACAGAACCAGATATCTCTTCTCTTCTGCTTCTCTTTGTCCGTATGCTGTGTCTGACAACATCATTTTACTATAGATGGTGATGTAAATAGGGCACAACTGCAAAAGAGCTGATATGAAGTGTGAAATACAGCATAAAATTACAGAATTGGTTCCTGGGTCCTATGGGATGCAGAACCCTAATAAGCCTGTAATTGTAATTGACTCACAGAGCATGTTGAGAAAGGTGGAGACAGGCAGAGAGTGGCAAGCATTACTTCAGAGGTCCCGGGTAGTTAGCCTCCTTTAGATATTTACTCCAGGTTATGCCCGTGTGTTGGGAAATGAGCAGGCAGATAGACTGGTCGGTTTTGCACAAGATGGTGAACTGATGTACAACAAGCTAGATTTTGTGAGGGCCCTTTGGGAGTGAGTGAACAGTTTAAAGGCACAGATAGATCATTACGGTCTTAGAAGAGTGGCGATGTGAGGCGTTACCAGGGATCTGGTCGACACTCAAGCACTCATAGGAAAGGAGAGACAGATATACAGTCAGACAGTTATTGGTGCCATCATAATTGGAACTCTTTGCTTGCTACTGAAGATGGGGACAGAGTGCTTATGGGAGTGTCCAGAGTGCTGTAATGTCGACTTTTAATTCAACATTCATCAAGAAAGCTTGCCCCAGCCTTATAGGTTTCCCTCACTTGGATCATCACAGTCTAGTAAGGGGTGCAGCGAGGAGTGGCGAAGGGGATCTGGTCGAAACTCGACGCTCAGAGAAAGGGCAGAACGGACTTATTATCAGACTGCTTCTGGCACCTTTGGTACTGGAACTCTGTGCTGGCTGATAAAGATGGAGACAGAGCCCTTATAGGAATGCCCCAAGTGCTGTGATGTGACTAGACCATCTACTCCTGAAGCATGTCGTATAAGATGACTTCTAACTAAAGATTTGCTGGAATCAGATGTACTTCCCTAAAAGGCAGAAGAAGGCAAAAAGTCCAGAAGCAAAAGTTTTTCAGTTTAAAAACTTTCTAAAAGATATTAATTATGTCTGCTGAGGAGAATTAAGAGTTCATGCCCTTACTTTTTTGTGTGAAGTATGTTCCAGAGCTCTGTTTAAACTAGATAGATAACAATTTTGGGGGGGGGGGGGGGGGGGGGCGTCGTCTCATGTGGAGGAGAAAACTATATTGAGACAACAGGAAAACTGGAAGTGGAAGTAAAAAAAACTCCCAGTTTCTTGACATGGAAGAACAGCTGTGTTAAAACTGATTGGCAGTAAATGGGTCTGAGGACTCTAAACAGTATAATGGCCAAATCGACAAAGCATGGATTATCTTCTTCTATTGTATTTGCCAGCTGTAAACTTTGGCGGAAAGTCTGTGTTTAACAGCTATGCAAGACTTTGGTTGTGACCCAGGACTTGAGTGTTGTGGTTCACTTCTGCAACCCAACACAAGGAGATATAAATGTCTTTGCAGGTTTGAACCAGTTACATTGGATTTCTCTGGAGAATAGATTCATTGCCTCTCTAACAAGCACGTTTAAAAAAAAGGGGATGATTTAGGGTTTGCCAAAATAAAACGTATTGGGCCAAAAGGCACAGATAATGCAGCCTAGTCATCAACGACAAGACAGCATGCCAACCACCCATTAAAGGCAAACACAGAAATCAAACAGGTTGTAGCCACTAGGAAGTAATAAATCCGTCATGTTTGTTTTTTATCAGTGTTTGCTGTTTTTTGCTGTGCTTATATATTCTGTGATGTTTTCAGGAGAGATCACTCTGGTTTGTCTTGGCCCTCTGACAAATTTAGCTTTGGCACTCAGGCTTGATCCTTTAGTGGCCAGTCATTTGAAGGAAGTTTATATTGTTGGAGGGAATATTGAAGGTAAAAAGTCACTTTTCATACTATTTTTTTGGTTTTTTTTGGGTTATGCTGTCAGTTTCTCGTCATTTATGTATATTAGGTTTGTGTATACGCCCATGAATTTTCTACCATTTCTGAATGTCATTTTTTGTTCTTTTTAAACATATCTGACTATTCGGTTTATAATTAATGGCTGTCAGTAAGTAAGTAAGTTGTACATAAGCAGGACATCACACAAAGCGATTAACACTTGTTGACACAAAGTGCACCACGAGGATGAGGATGACCTGTGGAAAGGTCCTGGAAACCCTGTTCAACCGTTAGGTTATAAAAGGGCTTCAAAATAAAGACAAATTGTGTCCCACACGGGGATGACGAATTATTAACTGACACTGGCTGTCAGTTTTAAAAACAATATATCATGTTAGCTTTCTGTCAAATCTGGCTGTTACTTTTCTAGCATATCTGACATTTAGGTTTTAGAAAATCATATCTGGCTGTAAGATTTATGTCATATCCGTCTGTAAGTTTACCATTAGAATATGCTTCAGTTTTTGAAATGTTTGTTAAAAATAATGTGTACAGTTTTAACATGTGTGCATTTCTTTCAAAACTTCTAGGCCAAGGTGACTTTTCATCATGTGCTGAAAGAAACTTCCTCTTTGACCCAGAAGCCGCTCATATCGTGCTACAAGAAGTCAAAGATGCTGTTATTTTACCCTATGAAATTGGCCAGCGACATTGCATTCCCTTTGTGAGTTCTTCTTTATGTATTAGTTAGTTAGTTGGGTTATCATCATTGCACTTCGGACATGTCCATAGGTGCTCAGATTCTCCCCTCAGTATGAACCCCAACGTCCGATAGTACCAGTTCTATGTTGATTAACAAGTCTTCTGGTGTGCGTCTCGTTTTTTGCTATGCCGATCTTAATTCCCAAGTCTGCCATTCTGGCGAGTGATGTGGATTAACTGCAGCCAAAGTCCTCTATCCTTCCCATTTCTCTGAGGGCATTAATAATATCAGTATGATCCATAGGCTGACCATCGGTAGTGACAGCAGATCCAGCCAACCTGTCGGGCTCTTTCATTTCCATCGACGCCTGTGTATCCCAAGACAAAAATAAAGGTGACTCACGCACAGTGGACTTCTGTAATGATTCAAGCCATTGTCTTCGTACTGAACCTGCCTGAACCCTCCGGATCATACTCATTGAATCACTGAGTAAACATACGCAGATGTATTTTTGTGTTTCAAACCAGGCAAATGCCATCACCTCCATCTTTATGTTGCTGCTTGTCACGGAGAAGGCGCCGTTGGCTTCTTTGACTGTTCTGCCCGCTGAGTGTGTTGTGAATGCCCATGCGCTTTTTGGCGTATAACGGATCCGTCTGTGTAGATTAGTGCATCTGCTTCGTCTGCATTTTCACTGATAAGAGCGTTGACCTCTGCATTAACAGCAACAGGATTCTCTTCTCTACATCGCCTGTTGAGTGTGGCAAGACAGGAAAATGTACAAATAAACGCATGAGGCACAGGTATCCACTCTGCATGTTTCTTCATGTATGCATGTTTGCATATGCTGTTTTTGTGTGTTTTATTTGATATTCATATTATGTGTGTTATGTGAACATAACTTGCTTTATAGATAAAATACAATTGCTGTGTGAGAGGTGAGCGTTCAGACGGGTCTGCTTACCCAGTTTTGACCTTTTAAAAATAACGTTTGTTAGTTCTTCTACCTCTTCTTCTGTGATCACCTCTACAAGGAAAAATGGTTTATGTTAATGTAAGCTTTGATTTCTGAGCCTTTTGGCCCAACACATCAAGCATCTGCAAACCATTAAATTAGTCCCCATTCACAACCTTCTTGTTAGTTTTTTCATCGAAAATGGGGCTCGGAAGCAACAGGGAGAGTAACTTCTCTTTCCAGTTGCCATTTCTGTCCAGAAAGTTAAATAAGTATGTAAAATACAGGATCCTTACTGCTCCTGTGCCACATCACCATATGATACTAGGCTCACATTTTATTGGTCGGCACTTGGTGGGTGATAAGGTTGGGATTACACAGAGAAATCTGAATACCAGTTTGTTGGAATGTTTCAAAATCTAACCAGTCATAAAGAAGTCTGCTTTACTTGGCTGAGGGTTTGTACTTCTTGGGAGGTGAAGGACATAATAAGAAGAGAGATGGGGGAATGGAATTACAGGAGTAAGTAAGCTACAAATAAGTGGAAAGATACAATCAAGAGATGGATGGGCTGTATGTAATACAGCAATAGGTAACACACACACACACAAATGGAAAGAAACAATCAAAAGATAGATAGGCTGTAATATAGGAAGAGGTAAGCAACAAAAACATTGAAAGAAACAATCAAGAGATGGATGGGCTGTAATACAGCAAGAGGTAAGCAACAAAAAGGAAAGATAAGATCAAAAGATGGATGAGCAGGAATACAGCAAGAGGACAAAACAAATACCTAGACATTTCCTCAAAAAACTTTAGTGTCGTACCACTTCACATTTCCAGAACAATTATTTTACACCGAAACAGACAACTGTAGATGTAGAATAGGTAATGTAGATGTGTTATTTGACAATTTGGAGAAAAATGGAGATAGGCTGCAAATGCCCCAAACTGAAAATTTTCCACAGGCCTGTTGGGATATGCCAAAAACATAATGGCACAAATGGATGATGATGATAATAATCTCTTTTTTCTTCACATTAATCAGCTGTAAACTGGCAGAATGTTCTCATCATTCATCCATCATGGACTTTAGTCTTGTTCCAGATCCTGAGTTTTGCATGCACAGTTGTTTTACAGAACTGGTTTATTTTTAAGCAGACTGTTGGTTCCTCACCTCTCAGGCATATGTACTCTAACTTTGAAGGACACACCCTTAATTAGTTGGCTCTTACGAAATGCTTGTTGGGTAGCAATGGTTCTGTTTCTTGACAGTTGCTCTGTGTTTTGGCAGTGGCTCTGTGTTTCTTTTTTTCCCCATATGGAGCCCTGAAATAAGCATGTGGAGATAATAATAATAGGTCAGGAAGTTCTGTATTATATATAAAGTGTCATTGTTGAAGTTGCTTGTTTTAACTTGCTTCCAGAAACATCTAGTCACCTGTTTGAATGCTGGTACAGAAGTCTCCAACTTTCTCATAGAATCTGTCACTCAGGAAGAACTCCAGCTTCAAGCAAAAACAGGAGTGGTGGCCCCTGAAGTGTTTGCAGTTGCCATGGTGATAGACTCCACCATCGCCCTGGAGAAGGAGAAAGTGTTTGCCACTGTGGAGTTGAAAGGAGAATATTCTAGAGGTATGATGGTAGTGGATCAGAGAGGCTATTTCAACAAAGAACCAAATGTATACATTGTGAAAAACATGGATCTGGGCAAAACTCAAGCTTTATTTGCTTCTGTTTTTACGACACCAGAAGCAACGGAACAAACCACAATGACAGTCACGGTTTCAGGTTCAAACCGAGAACATTTGCCGATTCTTTACAAAGAGACGAGAGTGACTATAGTTTAGAATATGGATTGTGTTGTACTGACTTGCTGTAATAATAATTGAGTTCTGTTTATTATGTTACTGAAAAAGAGGCTGAATAAACAGTTTTTCATAATTTCTGAGAAATTGACATGAGCTTGAGTGTGTGCCTGAGTATTTGTGTGATTGTGTGTTTTTCAGTATAATTGTTTTTTCACTATCCATACGTTCAAACTATTATAAAATCAGAGAATGTGGCACTATACTGGACACCTTCTAAGAAAAGACGACTAGAGAATCACCAAACAAACACTCAAATGGAAAATAGAAGGATTGAGAAGTCTTAGCCATAGTTGAGGTATCTACATCACCACAATCTGGTTTCCTCATAATTGCTCCTTTCCTGTGCCAGTGTGAATCAAATGAAATATCCCTCACTGTCGCATATGAAAAACTATTGAACAAAACAAATAGTTCCAGAAATATGTGCATTCAGTAAATGTGTATTTCAGTTATTAGAGATGCCAAAGCCAACAATCGCCACCAGAAATTCAGTTTGTCATTGATGGAAGTAGTCAGGCACGATAAGTTGGTTACTATTCAGACGTAAAATTATTAGAAAAGGTATTTCACCAGCTCACACGTAAACCGTCTACCGGCCATATTGAACACCACGACACAACCGCTGCATGAATGAAAGGCGTTTCACAGGCAAAACACAGCTCACAGGGCTGCAACCAAGCATGAAACTAAGTAGTTCAGTAGCTTATTGGAGTCCCCATTCACTTTCAGGAAAGCCCCTCACCTACCTGGACAATTTTGAAGCGGGATATGTTTCAGGTGTAAACATTCTCTTAATATGTATTTGTTTATAAATTTCATATTATTTCAAATATATTATTCTTTTTATTTGTCATTCAGCCCACACAAATATTAATAATGAGGTTTTTCCTAGACAAAAGAAAACCCACCACAATGAATATAATAAGGCGTCAGTATTCATCATAGTGAGGCCTGAACAAATGTACTGGTACTATGTATCCCAGGAAAAAACCTGATAATTATTATTGCACACTTAAGCACGACTTAAAAAACCTTTTACCGATAGATGGTTAAATACTGGCTGAGCTCAATGTATGTTTTCTTTGTGTCGACGTCCGGTTCTGCGCCCCTTTGTAGGGTGTCTAGATGAATGATATTGTTTGAACATAAGACGATGGCTAGCTTCATTTTTATGACTTGCCTCAACACGAAAGAATGGATTGTTAAACAGCTTCAAGTCAACCAGTTGTTTAATCTCCCACTGTCTACGGTTAACACATCTGTTTTTGTTTTTATTACTTATCAATGCCTGATTTATAATTTGGGGGATTTTCTTCTCTTTCTCATGTTGAGAAGGGTGGAGACAGGTATGCTCCGTGCAGAGTTGCAAGCATCATTTCAGAGGTCCCGGTTAGTTAACATCCTTTGGATATTCTCTCCAAGCCATGCCGGAGTGTTGGGTAATGAGCAGGCTTATAGACTGGCTGGTTCTGCACCACTTGGCCATGAACTGACGTATGACAAGCCAGATGCTGTGAGGGCCCTCTAGGAACGAGTGAACAATGCGGAAGCGCAAATAGATCGTTACTGTCTGAGGAGAATGGCGCTGTGGGGAGTTACCAGGGGATCTGGCCGACGCTCAACAGTGAAGGGAAAGGTGAGACGGATATACAATTAGACAGTTACTGGTTTCATCGAAATTGGAACTCTTCGTTTACTGCTAAAGATTAAGACAGAGCGCTTGTGGAACTGCCCTGAGTGCTATGATGATGGTTCTTAATTCAACATTCTTATACTTCTTCTTCCCCACTGCCGTTTTGAAAAAAAAACTGGTGGTGCATTTCTTATTTATAGCTTATCTGCGTTATTTGCTTTCAGCGAATTTCTTTCAGAAACTGAAAGATCACAAACTGTAGATCGGGAGGCTCAACAAAAGGAAAGACAAGCACACAAATACTAGTGAAAATGTTTCGACTGAAGTCTTTCTCAACAAAAAACAACATCATTTGTACTTGCCTAGAACACTGAAATACAATTATACATGAGTAAATCTCGCACGTGAACTAATAAAATTTTCCCTATGTGGATTCGGGGGGGGGGGGGGGGGGGGGGGGGGGGGGGGGGGGGGTGATAGACAGATTGCATCCTGTCCTCCAAGACCCTTACAAGCATATCGTTAAAAAGCGACTAATTAGGAGTGTCAAAGTGTATATGTCTCAGAGACAATGATCCAAACGTCTGCATGCAAATAAGCCAGATCTGTAAAATGTGTGTGTGTGCAGTTGGGTTTCAAGCCAGAAGAAGGCTGCTGCAAATTAATAAATGCTAATATCATATCCCCACCAAGCCTTCATATGGTCACCAGAGGGTAAAAGAAAACAGGGAAGACCAAAAAAAACTCTCCGTAGAACCATCACAAGGGAGAGCTCAACCATAGGTCTCAGTCGCACTCAAGACCTACATCAAGTGGCAAAGAACCGACAGACGTGGAAAGCTATGACCTCTGCCCTATGCGCCATCTTTGGCACAAGAGGAATAACTAACTAATATCATTAGTATTCTAATTCTGCCTAGCTGCAGAGGATTGGTACGGAACGCTCACAGGATTGCCCATAGCGCTATATTGTCGGTTCTCAACTCAGTAAATCAAGTATCTACCAACGTACAGATAAAAGGGACAAATTAGAAGAAGTTGAATCCTCTAAGTATCTCGGCTCCCACTTATGTAACGCTGGCAGCTGTACAAATGAGATCAAAATAAGGCTTGATACGGCAACAGCCGCGATGTCCCAGTTGAATACGACGTGAAAGAGCAAATTCAGCATTGCAGTAAAGGTTAATTCCAATAAATTACTGGTATTGTCTATATTCTTATACGGATGTAAAAGTTGGAATTCCACTGTGAAAATAGAAAGGGGCATTCATGCTTTCGAACATAAATGCTGTCAAACAACTGAACTGAATTTCTACCCCACCAGGACATCACACAAGCGATAAACACCCGATGACACAAAGTGCCACCATGTGGATGAGGATCGCCGTGGAGAGGTCCCAGAAACCGCGTTCAGACATTTGGCCATATATATGGCCTGCCTATATTGCGGCCCCTGGCAAAAGCCAGAGTAGGGCTTCAAATGACAAAAAATTTTGTCCTAAAAAGGACGAAATTGGATATATTAACAGACAAAGATAACTGTCAAACTGCCAATTATTGCCTTTATATATTATTGCCTTTATATATTATTGCCTTTATATATTATTGCCTTTATATATTATTGCCTTTATATATTATTGCCTTTATATATTATTGCCTTTATATATTATTGCCACTTGTGAGGTGTAAAAAAAGGGGAGGGGGGGTCTTTGAGCCTGATTATTTACGGCCGCATGGCTAGTGCTGACGCCACGACTGTGCAGGTGTGAATTTTATTTTGCCCCCGACAGAAAAAAATCCCCAGCCTTCCCGAGGATTCAAACCTGGGCCTCCCGCTTGAGAGCCCAGCGTTTTAACCGTTTATGCAGCCGTTCGTCAGAACGAAAATGTTATAGACGAATTTTAAGAATTCAAAAGTAGAATAAATAATTAATTATTTAGAACACAAAACTACAGTTGTGGCAATGGTGAAACGTCGCAAGCTAGTTTGGTTTGGGAACGATAATAGGTAATGATTTGATTGCAACGACTGTGCTTCAAGGAACAGTGGCGGGAAAGGGGGGGGGGGGTGCACGAAGAAGAGGGTAAAGAAGAACCTGGAATTGCAAAAATCAAGAAATGGACAGCACTAAGTTATCATTCAACATTTACCAAGCGGAAGACAGAGAAAGCTGGCGAGTTTTATATTATTGTGCTTCCATCGATACACCGAGACGACCCTAACGCATCAAGGGTTAATTTATGTTATACTCAGTAAATATTGGGATAAATAAGTTATGAGCAGTAATCTGGGCCTTGACGTCACCCCGGACACGTTCACAGGTACTAAGATTTCCCCTTCAACATACACATCAACGTCCCTCGTCCAATAGTGTCAATCCTATGCTGGTTAATAAGACTTTTTAAACGTCCGGTGTTCCTCTCATGCCTGGTGACGACAGTCCTTACTCAATATTCTCTCATTCTCAGCAGTCATGTGGATACCCTGCACCCAACATCCTCCGATCGTCCTTCTAATTAAGAGATTAACAATCTCTGTGCGATTCCTTGGCTGGAAATCTGCATTTAGAAAAGAACCGGTTAGTCTATCAGCTCTTACATTGCCAACAATGAAAATATTTAATGGGATAATTTTAAATATTAACCAACCCAGCCTCATGGAATTGCAGGTTTAACTGTAAAAATATGGGTGTGACTGCAGTCAAGCTAATACAAGGAATTCTAGAGAAATTTGACTTAAAAGCTCAACAAAATGGGGAAGCAGAAACACGGACACAAAACAACACAACGTAACGATTTCCAAAGCGAGGCGCATAGTATGATCGCCAGAGCAAGATTTTAATGCTGTGACAGATATATCATCTTTACCTCTGTGGTCAGAGGTATTAAAAAGATCAAAGTTTAAAAACAGTCGAATAAATAAATCTAAAAGATCAAAGTTGAAAACAAGTGCAGCACTTTAAATACTTGAGGAATCTCTTCACATAGGATGCCATAAACCTCAGAACCATGTTATATCGCCCCGGGACTACCGCAGGGCTCTGCAATGTCACCAGTGCTCTTTAATGTGTGTACAAGCAAGATTGCAGAACTTGAAGCATCAGGTGTTGGAGGAATATTGGCATTTGCATGTTTTTGCATATAGGCAAGGGAGGGATAGGCAACAGACAGCCCAAGAACTACAGGCAGCTGTAGACAAAGTGACTGACTTGTGTGCAGACAAGGGTGATGTCATTAACTCAGAAAAGGCTGCTGTTTTTGTGTGCTCTCTGGACTATTTAATTGTAAAATCTAATGTTACCCACCTCACAGTTAATGACAGAAACATCAAAAAGAGAAAGCAAACTGAGGTACCTGGGTATAATTTCCGATAGAAGCCTGTCCTTCAGTGATCATGTGGGGAGGGGGTAGTCGCGGTAAACTGTCAAAAAGGACGTTTTGCTCTCACGATTATGGCAGCAATGTATATTGAACAAAGAATGGTATTCATAATGTTTCAGCATGTGATCCTGTCGGTGATACATTATGGATTTGGAATGCTTACCATATCAAAGAGACAGCTGATGAAACTTGAACACATACAGCTGCCCGGCTCGCTAGTGTAGTTGGCAAAATCTGCCTTCGCGACGACCAGCTGGCGAACTTCCTTGTGGTCTGGGTTCACGCACGAGGGATAGGTAGAAAAGCCGCATTTCTCCCAGATTTACGGTATTTATCATGGAATCAAGGCCGAAGGGTTGCGATTTCCATAGTACCGAGCCAAAGGGTTAAGAACTCGTGGTTTCTGGATAGGCCTACTGAAAAGAAAAAAAAACACCCCATACATCTTGAAGCCATGCGGGTAATTCTGGGATGTACAAGAGACACACCGGTAGTATGTTTTCATACAATCATACAAACCCAATGTGCAGTTACATCAATTGTGATAACATAACTAGCATAACACATCTGAGTCACAGGCGGTAATCTTCTCCTCCTCCTCCTCCTTCGCGTTCACCAGATGTAAACTCTAGTAGAAAGTTCTGGTTGTTCGCCCACTCCCAGAGTTTGGTCTTATTCCAGAACTTGAGTTTTGCGTTCACGTCCATTTGTCTGAGTGAAACTGAATCCCGCTAGGATCGCACACTGAGCGATTAACATCCCTTGACGCACAGTACAGTGCTTGATAACTCGGGTGAGAATCCCTCAGGTGAAGTCCTAGAACCCCGTTCAACCGTAAGGTTATATTAGGGCTCACGACGATTTCAGAGTAACCTGAAGTCCTGCTGGGTAAAACTGTAATATAAAAAATTGTGACTAATATTGGGACATGATAGAATATAAACATCAATTTTACAAATCTGGCTTAATTCTTTTGGTTGTGGCATATTGAAAGAATGTCGGGTGACAGAGAAGTAAAAACTATACACCAGGAAGATGGATCGTCGTAGACCACGAGGCAGACCAAGAAGACGAATGAGAGATAATATTATGACAGACCTGCAAACACTTAGTGTCACCACCTGGACAGAAAAGGCCAACCAGAGAGATGAATGGAAGCAGGTGATATCTGCAGCAATGAACCTCAAGGGCTAGGAATGCTGAAGAAGAAGAAGACTTGGTTTTTGGAGAGGGATTTAATAAAAAGATGCACGTTTGTGCAGGCACCGCCAAGCAAGGGGCGTTAGGTCACATGACAGTCCGCCATGTTCTGAGATCTGCTTCAAAACAACATCGGGGATTTGACCGTTGGAATCTGAAAGTGCATGAAGAAAGCGGTCGTCCAGCACATGCACGCTATATTTAAAGCAGGAATTATAAGGTATTATCAGCACTAACACATTTGCTGGATCTGTTTCTTGTCTGGAGTTAACCAAATCTCTACTGTGACCCAATCAATCACTATGACCGATTGATTTGAAGAAGTTTGGGTTCCCAGTGACCCACAACACACTGACAGTGACACAGTGCTAGGCTTCCGTTTGCAGGGACAACTGTTGTTTCCTAGTGGCGAATTGACAATGATAGCCGTAGGTTTGCTACTTGTTGATTCTCCTTTCTTTTTGTTTGATAAAGTGTACGTGCTTGTGCAACGTTTTTACAGCAAAATAAATGAATATTGAGGAATAAATCCCGATATGACACTACTTAACTGAAAGCGGCGAACAGTTGACTTGACCCAGTATGGTATTTTGTTGTTGTAATTTTCAGTTCTAAGAATGTTGATGTTATTATTTATTAATCCATGCTTTAAAAGAACAACCAGAGTGAGTCTGAACCTAAGGTGAAAGTGTCACACAAAATTGAGAAAGAAAGAATACCAAGCAAAGACCCCTCAGGGATCTGAGTTAAAAAAGTAAAAACTGCACTCATGAATTGAACAACACAACTGATATTAACAAACCTTCGATGTTCATAGCACAAGCAAAATGGCTTGCCCACTTTACCATGGATGGACACCCCCCCCCCCCACACACACACACACACTTTTTTGTTTAAAAATTTTTCAAAACCACAAAGAAAACACAGAGGTTATGACATGATGACAGAAGAGGGGTAGGCATCGAAGGACTGCACACTCATGGGAATGCCAAATGTGCAGTGTTGTTGCTTGTGGTAACATAGCCAAAGAAGGACTCAAGGAATCTGCTGGCTATCCTCTGAATAACGGTCCTAAAATATCGAGGCGGAAAATATACCCTAATAGGGCTTCAGTCATGTGTCAATAGCGCACTTCCATTGTCTTAAATTGCGCACTTCCGGCGACTTCCGCCACCGCCGAGAGTATTCCCCATGCTGCTCGTGGATTGGAACTAAACTAGATGGCTGGGACTCACGAGCAGAGGCTACCGCATCTCCTGCAGCTTACTTTATTTTATTTGCTCATGAGTCCTAGCCATCTGGTTTAACCATAATCGCGGCGTGGGAGATACACTCGGCGGTGGCCGAAGTCACCGGAAGTTCGCAATTCGGTGGTGGCGTTATAGTCCCCGGAAGTGCACAATTGACACATGACTGAGGCCCTGTTAGGGTATATTTTCTGCCTCGATAATTTAGGACCGTTATTTGGAGGATAGCCGAATCTGCCTAATGTATTATTAATACATATATTAATATTATTAAACATAAGAAGAAAAGTTAGTCAGACAAATGAGTTTAATAATGTGCAAAATGTTCAAACAGCCTGACAACAAACAATGTAAGTGACATCAGCAGCCAGAAGCATGTGAAATGACAGAGTGATTTAAAGTTCAATTCAGCAGGTAGTTCACAGAAATATCTTGTTGAGCTCTTAGGGTTATAATTGGCATATAAAGTGTAGATTAAATGTTCAGAGTATATTTTCGAAGCACCAATGGTCAGTATCATTATAAAGGACATATGATTGGTAGGTAGGTAGGTAGTTGTACCCCTTCAGGACATAACACAAGCTATAAACACCCAGTGACACGTAGTCCCTCCATGGGGATGAGGATCACCCGTGAAGAGATCCCAGTGGCAGAAGCAGATAAGTAGTAAGCATAAAATAAGATCCTAATTAATATATTAAACTTGTGAAAAGTTAATTCATCTGATATTTTATATTTGCAGTGATTTTTCATGATGGGAGTTTGGCAGGATAGAAGAATCTCTTACAAGATTGGCTTTGTTGGAGTCATACTGGGTGTTCTCATGTTCATTGTAGGCTTTTGTGTACCATCATGGGCACATTTGACATTCGTTTATGGTGACCACACACTCAGCATGGGATTATGGCAGAAGTGTACTGGCGACCTGGGAATATGCACAATATCTATAGACCATGATAGCCCAGGTATGTATATGTGATTTGTATGTGGGCTGTCCTCCGAATAATGGTCCCAAAATATAGAGGCAGGAAATGTACCCTAACAGGGCCTCAGTCATATGTACATTGCGGACCTCTTTCCGGCGACTACACTGCACATCGTGGAAGAGCTTCTGCCGAGTTATCCCTGCGCTGCTACGCGTGTAACTGTCTGAGAGGCACAAAAGCGGCAGTCTTCGTATGTTTAATAAGCCAGATCTCTAAAATGGGATGTGCTTGCAAAAGTCAAGTTCTGGATTAAGACTAAAATTGGGAAGTGGCCAAAAAACCTAAACTTTCAGCTGGAGTTTACAGCCAGTAAATGCAAACGTGATGAAATATTTGTACATTCACTGTATGAAATCTCCTAGAAATCTGATACGCTTTTAATGACCCCCCCACCCCCTTTTTTTTCATACAAAAAAAAACTATGTTAGTTGTGTCTCCTTAACAGGAACTTGCAGAACCAACCTCATATATTTTCTGTTTGGTTTTACAAGGCAGTTTTACTTTTAGTAAATTCAATGAGTATGATCCGGAGGGTTCAGGCAGGTTCAGTGCAAAGACAATGGCTTGAATCAATTCAGAAGTCCACTGTGCAAGGAGTCACCTTTATTTTTGTTCTGGGACACGCAGGCGTCGATGGAAATGAAAGAGCTGACAGGTTGGCTGGATCCGCTATCACTACCGATGGTCGGCCTATGGATCATGCTGATATTATCAATGCCCTCAGAGAAATGGGAAGGATAGAGGACTTTGGTGGCAGTGAATCCACATCACTCACCAGAATGGCAGACTTGGGAATTAAGATCGGCACAGCAAAAAACAAGACGCACACCGGACACGTCAGAAGACTTGTTAATCAACATAGAACTGGTACTATTAGCCATCGGACGGGGTTCATACTGAGGGGAGGATCTGAGCACCTATGGACATGTCCGGAGTGCAATGATGATAACCCAACTAACTAACTAACTAACTAACTAACTTTTAGTAGTTGACCTTTGTTTTCTGACTGGCAGGCGCTGCATGCCATTGTTGAAATCAATGCAAAACTGCTGCCGAATCGCTTGTAGCTTAATCGACCCAGGTATTTCCAAATTATGAAGCGCATTTGCAGTGACTTTGCCACAGACTATATACACTTCCCTTTCATAAGTTAATTATTGTTCTTTTATAAGTTTACAGTGCTCTTTTTTAAAATGAACTATACAATATCCTTTTGTAAGTTAACTACAATATCCTCTTTTTAAGTTGACTGTACAGTATCCATGTGAAAATTCAAATGATAGTTCATTTTGTACTGCAGAGAAATGTATCATTTCTTGAACGATACTTTTAACATAATGATACCACTCATCTACAGAGTGGCAGTCACTGACTTGACATTTTTGCCTGACAGACACATGTGTCTGTCGAATGCTTTTGTGTTGCTGCGAGGCATAACATTATAGCTAGAATGTCTTTACACTGGAGCCCACTGGGTTGTAACAATAATGGCAGGTCCAGAAAAATAAAAAAAAAACAAAAAGTATGGAGTAAGGATCTAGATAGTGAAGTTTAAAAAAAGATGGGGTGAATATGGGATGGGATGGCAAAGGATTGAAAAACTTGCCATGAATTGGTTGAAGGCTTGGAGCTTTAAGGGCAGAAAAAGAAGAAACAAAAATAACTCACAGCCAGAGAAACTATAGAGTGAAGATGAAAAGATTGGGGGAGGTGTTTGTAAATAAAGGAGGACTTGGCGTGAGTTGGTTGAGGGCCTATGCTCTGTTGGGGTTAGAGAAAACGAACGAATGAACTTTATTAGAGAGAGAATGAACAAGGAAGCTTAAGACCACAAATGTTTTTAATTTTCAGCTCCTTCTGATACTAAAATGTATTCCTTGATATTCTTGCTCCTATAGTTGCTGCTGTGTAGTGTTGGTAGTCGTGTCTGTTCACGGCTTTCTATCTTGTGTGCTGTCAGTAATTTCAGATGCAGATTTTCTCCTCCTGTAGCAGGTCTTATGCCGACAGTCACTGTCACCACAGCTGCCTGAAAGAAGGTCTCGTGCCAGATCTCCATCTGCATGCGCTTTCCTCCCGACCGAAGTTGTCACTTATATCCTAGGCCCATCTTCATGCTGGTCGACCCCTGCCACTCCTTCCTAAAACCATGCCTTCTGGTGCTATTCATTCCAATCTGTGTGCACCTAATATGGTGAAAATATATCAGTTTCTGAGACAGGTTGCTGTCTTCGGAATCTGCATAACTTATCATGGAAGCCAAAAGAAACAAGAAAACAGATATTCTTTCAGGAGATGATGGTAAGCTGTCCCACTTCTCTCTTGGTCTCCCTCTGCCTCTCTTTTCCTCTAACTTTCCTGCTGTCTGAGGTACTTCAGTTTTGCCCAGAGAATAAAGATTGTGACATTTGGATAACCCTGACGTTAGTAATGTCATTATGATGCTTAAAAACGCAGGTTGTATAGAAACTGTGAATTAAAAGAGAGTTGATGAGAGACATAAAAAAAAACACACTGAAATATTTTGGCCGCATTAAAAGATATAACGCTCTTTTCAAAACCGTACTGGAGGAAAAGGTCAAAGGCAACAGAGCAAGAGATAGACAGTGATACAAGTGGGAGGACAAAATCAAGAGACGGATGAACAATAATCCGAGAGAGTTTCAACCAAGACAGTGTGTGTTAAAGATCTGTTGCAGCCAACCTTCCTTGTGGAGATGACACCTGATTGAATGATATGCTTCTTTTCTGAACCGTAGTAACATACTGGCTTGCTCCCCCTTGACACCTTGGGTTCAGATTAACACTGGCTGCTAGGCCAGCCAGCCTAAAATGGGTTCAGGGTAATGTCCTGGGAGATAAAGGTGGCTGGCGTAATGTTGACCATATCCCCCATATCCCTAATGTCAAAAATTATGTCTGGTTTCATATGCCTGATGTGCCGCTGATATAAAATGAGTTTTTGACTTGTATTTTGGAATGCTTTTGTTGCCAGGCTGGTTGAAGGCTGTGAGAGCCTTGATGTGCACGTCCATGTTTTTCGCGGTCTCTGCCTGCATCGTGGGTCTCTACTGCAACTGTATTCTCAAAGTCCAGTTTGCTTCATCATTTTTCAACAAAAACATGGAAGCATCGGCCATGGTTGCAGGTAAGGTCTAGAAGCCGCATGAACCCTTTCACACCAGGAAGGTTAAATCCAGTCACTTTTAGTTGTGACACAACCTCATAAATGCAGGTATATGGCAATTCCAGCATTGACCTGTTTTCAAAATATGTAAATAGTGTTTAGAAAGCCCTGTTGCAAATCTTTAGTTACGTATCCTTTACAGGATGTTACAGAACCAACCCTAGCATTTTTTTTGGCTGTTGTGGTTTTTCTAGGCAAAGTTTACATTCAGTAGTTTGCCATTGCCCTATCAACGGTCAGCTCTCGGTACCACTGTCGAAACCATCGCAAGCTGACTGTCCGCAGCTGGGATCCAACCCGGCACCCCAGCATTATGAAGCCCGTTTGCAACACCTGAGCCACAGGTTGAAAATATATTAACTAAAAATAGCATTTAGAGGGGTTTCTTTGTGACCCAATAGCTTTTATAAAGTCAGGTTGACTTAGAAAACTGGAGATAGAGAGGATGGTTCAGGATTGAATTGAGTGATGATAGTTTGTCTCTGCCTTATGTGCCTCTGATTGATTGAATGTCTATTTTTAGCATCTAGCTTCTTTTTTTTCTTTTTACTATTGTTCACTGGCTGTAAACTCCGACAGAAAGCTCTGGTTGTTCGCCTACTTCTGGACTTTGGTCTTATTCCATGCACGTTTCCCATATCTTGCTTATTTGTGTGCAGATTGTTTGTTGTTTCCTTGCCTCTCAACAGATGTACTCCGACTGTGAAGATTTAAAGGAAACATCCCTAATTAGTTTCTCTATATAACATGCTTGTTGGGGGCAGTGGGGTCCCCCCACCCCCCACAGTTGCAGCCCCAGAACCCACATGAGGAGAGCATCTGGCCATGAATGGTCAGAATGTTGGGCTGTCATCCAAAAGATCCAGGTTCCAACCCTCAGTAGGATTTTGGGATTTGTGACTGTTATGGACAAGATTAAATTCTTAACTGGCACAGATTGTGGTGAATGCCCAGTTAGACATTAATTAAAAAAAAAAAGGGTGACAACTAGAAGCACCACCCACCAAACCATCCATTCACCCATCCCTTCATTCATCCACTCACCCATCCATCCACTCATCAGTCCATGCATGCATCCATCCAGCAACCATCTACCCACCCATCTATCTATAAATGACCAATTCTTCAACTATTCTGCCACTTGTTTCCAGGGGTCTTCCATCCATCCATCCATCTAAAAATATTTTCCATCTTTTGTTTCAGTGGCCTTTGGTGCATTTGGACTGATCATCTTCGCCTCGCAAGTCCACAATTACAGCGGTCAGATTGGCCAGATATTCTGGGGATTTATACTGGTCTGTGTCTCCAACGCCATAATCGGCATCAGCGCGTTCCTTATGCTCATCTCTCACCGGTTCAACATCATGTCGGCGCAAAGCCACTTTGCCCACCGCCAGTTTCGTGAATCGTTCCATGCAAATGTACAGCTCCCTGATTATTCTTCCGATGGAGGGAATCAGATGTTTATCACAACCGCAGAAGGACATATTGATTATGGGCCACCTGCCTACGAAACTGTTGTAAATTGCATCCCCCAAGATGAGATCGCCCCACCGCCATATTCCCAAGTTGTTAAAAGTGAAAAGTGAAAGACACGCATTTGAAAAAAAAAACCATTCTGTGTTACGGAAGGGTATAATTTTTTTCTGTTGTGATTTTTAAGAAAGGATCATGGGTATTTGTTGCAGACAGTGTGTGTTACAGTGCCATATCAGAATAGTTGAATGATGGTGTTGAGTTTTCAAGTTAGCTTGTGATTTGTTTAAAGGGCAGAAGAATTGTGCCAAGTTTTTTTTATTGCAAGCAGTTTTATTGGGCAGGACAGGAAATCTTGATGGTAAGGATATCGTATTTGACCGTCAAAGGTGGAGGGAGCTGATCAGATGGTCAGCAGCAACTGGTGACCCAACGACGTGCACTGTTACAGGACGTTGATGATGATGATAAGAGGAAGCATAATCTAACTGTAAGAAGCAGTTTTGATCACCAGAATAAGTATTGTTATAATGGTTATGATCTATACTTTTGATTAGTGTTGTTGATGGTTGTGGTATGTAATCTTGATTGATAGTTTTGAGTGTTCTTGGTCCTCAAGTTAGGTGTTGTTGATGTTTTGAATCACGTTTTCATTTTGCCAACCTGCCTGCTTCCTGGCTCGCCCCTTTTCCTTCTCCATCTTTTTCTGCCTGCCTACTCTCTCTCTCTCTCCATATCTCTGTCTGTCACCCAGCCTGTCTATGTATGACTCTCCCTCCCCATTTCTCACTGTGTCTATCAGCCAGCCTGTTTCTATCTGACTTTCTTACTCCCCTTTCTGTCGCTACCTGACAACCAGTCTGATTTCTGCCCGCTCCCTTTTTTCTCTGTCTGTTGATAATTACCACATTTATACCATAACAAATATAACTGGGAGGTTTGGATTTTTTTTTTGGGGACTGAATGAGAAAGCCTACTTGCCCATGCAGGCATCACTGTGTCTACAGGCTGGTAATTTAATTTACCGCTTATAGACTAAAACTGTAAGTTTTACTAAGAATCAAACACACACATTTGAGGAGCAGGCATTCTGACCCCATTGGCAACCCACTTCTTCTTTTTCAGCATTTGAAGCCCTTGAGGTTAATTGCTGCAGACGTCACCCATATTCATTCATCTCTGTGATTGGCTTTTTCTTTTTCTTTCTTCAGTTGGTGACTCCAAGTGTTTATAGGTCTACCTGTGTATTCTCTCTCCATCATGTTCTTGGTCTGCCTCATGGTCTACTGCCATTCAACTCTCCTGCTTACCCAGTTTTTACCTCTCTGTCATCAGATATTCTCTCAGCATGGCCCAGCTGTTTCGGTCGATTAACCCTCATGATGCCAGGGTCATTAGTGATTTGACTGGTCCAAAGATTCATTTTAAGAGTCTCTTCTAAAAAAAATGTGTAATAAGGCTTCATCTCTTCTTAGTTGGGCTTTAGAGCTGTATAAAACAACTGGTCTTATCGACATTTTGTATATTATGGTTTTGGTGTCATAAAATAAGAGTCTTTGATTTTAGCAGATGTTGTAGAGCAAAATATACTTTCTGTAATACGAATTTATATACAAAAGTTAGTTGCAAATCTTTTACAGGATGTTGCAGAGCCAACCCCATCGTTTTGTTGGCTTTTGTGATTTTACTAGGCAATTTGACATTTAGTTGTGTGCATATAGGTAACCTTTTAGCAACAACAAGCTTTTATTAGAGACAATATTATAAGTCTGAGTGACAATCAGAAGCAAGCAGAAGGATACAAATGTAGAAAAGTCCCTAGGTTAGATAAATTCTGATGGGCAGATATATAAGAGAATATCTTGAGATGCTAACTATTTTCTTATCTTTGAGAGAGGGGGAGAGAGAAAGACACAAGGCATTCCAAATAATTAAAGAACCTGTTTTGTGTGTGTGTGTGTAGAATGCAAACAAAATTGTATACATTTAGTTTATTCTATACTTATAACCAAGGCCATTAAGTTATTTGTTTGTGTCAAGAAAAAAGCAATCCATGTTCTTTGGTCATGTGATGAGAACAAAGGCATTAGAGAACATGGTGATGACTGGGAAGATCAGCGGTAGAAGAGGCAGAGGTAGACCCAGAGAGAAGATGCTTGATGGCCTGAAGAAGGTGCCTATGCCACCGGATGATGATAAGAACGTTGTGTCCATTCCTGCCCATTAAAAAAAATTGCTGAAATATTTAGCTTCTGTGGGCAGTTCCCCCCCCCCCCCATCCTACCCCTGACCCCGCGCCCCCCTCCCACTTTGCTGTCTAGACAGTTGCAGTTCCCTGTTGACGAGATCTATCTCCCCATATATGGTTATACTGAGCTGCTACAAGTAAAACATTGTGAGCATGGCATGCTGGTTGAGGCTGCGGTCTCTGTTAGTTGTGATTCCACGGTGACATAGCACATCTGCTAATAATAGTTACTCCGGTGAGAAACTCAGTGTATCCTTTGCTGGAAATGTGCACGTCGCAGCAGTCCACATCAAGAGGAGCACAGTGTATCCTTTGCTGGAAATGTGCACATCACAGCAGTCCACATCAAGAGGAACACAGTGATCCAAAAGAAAAATCACTGCCCCTGAACACTAACACAGCTGCTGCTTGTCGCCATACTGGAAATGGAAGTCTTTCTATAGTTATAATCATTACTGTTAACTCTTTAGGCACCAGAACGTTTCGCTGGACAGTTTCAAGGTAACAGTATTTGCGTGAGTGTAAACACCCTGTGAAAGCATAACTGTCACAGATGCAGTAACACAAATATTACAGTAACTAGACAGGCTTTTATAGTATTATTAAGCAAACTACTGATTAAGTCATTAGTAGTTTGGTACGCATGGGCAGTAGAAGATCACAGATGGCGCGCTGGCTGGGACTGACAGAGTTAAGTTGCATACCTTACATTATATGTTTAATTCCTTTCACGGTTTGATATTTATGCCAGGTACCATATTTATTACTGATTAACATTACATGCTGATCTGATTTTGTTTATTCATATGTAGATGAAAATTGTAAAGTGCTTTGATTCCTGGGCACTGATAGATAGCTACAGTATAATTTTCCTGAAGCAAAGTCAGTGTGTCTAAATCTGTACTGTCCTACAGGTCTTATACTGTCATACAGGTCTTGTACTGTCTTACAGGTCTTGTACTGTCCTACAGTTCTTGTACTATCCTACAGGTGTTATATTGTCATACAGGTCTTATACTGTCCTACAGGTCTTATACTGTCATACAGGTCTTGTACTGTCCTACAGGTCTTATACTGTCCTACAGGTCTTATATTATCCTACAGGTCTTGTACTGTCCTACAGGTCTTGTACTGTCCTACAGGTCTTGTACTGTCCTACAGGTCTTGTACTGTCTTACAGGTCTTGTACTGCCTTACAGGTCTTGTACTGTCTTACAGGTCTTGTACTGTCATACAGGTCTTGTACTGTCATACAGGTCTTGTACTGTCATACAGGTCTTGTACTGCCTTACAGGTCTTGTACTGCCTTACAGGTCTTGTACTGCCTTACAGGTCTTGTACTGCCATACAGGTCTTGTACTGCCTTACAGGTCTTGTACTGTCTTACAGGTCTTGTACTATCCTACAGGTCTTGTACTGTCCTACAGTTCTTGTACTATCCTACAGGTCTTGTGCTGTCCTACAGGTCTTATACTATCCTACAGGTCTTGTACTGTCCTACAGGTCTTGTACTGTCCTACAGGTCTTGTACTGTCCTACAGGTCTTGTACTATCCTACAGGTCTTGTACTGTCTTACAGGTCTTGTACTGTCCTACAGGTCTTGTACTGTCCTACAGTACTTATACTGTCCTAAAGGTCTTATACTGTCATACAGGTCTTGTACTGTCCTACAATTCTTGTACTGTCTGATTAATATATCTAAAAGTATGACTTTATTGCTAAACCCAGTCTGTCCCATTTGGTGGTCCACAAACCCTGGGGCATCAGCAAAACCAGTTCAGGTGTTTGTCTTATATTTACAACAACAAAGAAAACCTCCTCAGCTTTGTACAGGTTTGTCATTAAAGGCCATAGTATTCAGTTTGTATTTTACACATTTCTGCGTACCATTATTTTTTTTTTATATGCACAGTTATTCTGTGTGGCGCCTATTTTTTATGTGTCACAAATTTGTATAAGTCACCAATTTTCCATATGATGTCATTGTGATATAACACTTTGACTGATGATGAGATGGACATAATATTTAATTAGAAAGCATACCTGTGGAGATATTTTATCTGTGTGTATGTATATAGTGATTTGGTTTTTTTTTGTTGTTGTGAGATTTTTGAAGCTCTGTTTGTATATATGTATATTGTGATTGTTTGTGAGTGTTTAAGTTGATAGATGAATTTTTGAACTCTGTGTGTGTTTGAGAGAGAGAGAGAGAGAGAGAGTTTTGGTAAAGATATAAAAGATATACAGGAGAGCTGCGGTTGTATATATGTGTATACTGATTGTTTATGAGACTGAAGGGGTAACCGCACATAGCCCCAGATGTGCCACCAACCTGTACTAACATGTAAATTTCCCAAACAGACTATCAAAGAATTGTAAAGGCATGATTTTACCATTTGGAAACTTCATCTTTGTATGTAATTTTGCTCTTTTGTTTGGTTCCTTTTGGTTTTCTGCTTCTAATTGTCACTTGTAGCACTCTGTCCACCTCCTATGGTTATTTGTGATCAGGGTTCTGAAGGATGATGTGGCCAACACCCATGCAGAAACCCTACTGCTCATTAATCTTACTGAACAATGGAGAAGGCTGACCCAGTGAACATATATCAGACAAGCAATGTGAAAAACAAGAAAGCAGTGAATACAGATATCCACCAGTCAAACTCCTTTGTGGAGATGAAAAGAAACAAGGAGAAACACTGGGTGTTGCTGCTTGTAGAAAGGTGTCTGTCTGCTTTATTGGTAAGTTGAATGTGAGGAAATCTGTCTGGGATCAGACCAACAGAACATTCTTCTTTTTCACATTTACCAGCTATACACTCTGATGGAAAGTTCTGGTTGTTCGTCCACTTCTGGACTGCAGT